GGACAACTAGTTGTCCCTATTTGCCGTCTGACGGATATACTGAGGTTAGATAAACTTGATTACTTACTGCCAAGGACTGTCGACGGACTCTTTCCTAAACCGCCGCAATTGCAACATGGCATTGGAAGACGCAACTCGCGAGGAACAGTCGCGATTGGCCGAGGTTGTTACAAAAGGGCTTGCCAAACCGGCTGACTGCCTTATCTGGGAATGGAGTTGGGAGGAATCGGCCGATATCTCGAGCGGGGGTTGCACCAAGTGGAGGCGCAACTGATCTTACCTTACCATTCAAACCTGTTCAACTGGTCATCCAAGTCGATGCCGTTCCATTGGTGCCAATCGCGAAGTCGCACATTACAAAAAGGATCCCCAACTCGGTGAGCAGAGTTTCTACTTCAAAGCGAGACAACAAAACCAGGCAAAGATGAGCGCCGTGACGATTCAACCACCACTGTCCCGCCGTGGCCACGGCCCTGGGCTCATCATCGTGGTTGAAGAGGGCATCAACCTATCCAAACATGACAAGATTCTGGACCCTCCTGCATCGCAGAAATGGGCAGAGGAAGGATATGCAATTGCGCAAATAGTTGTTGCACCCGGAGCCGAAGACGTTGCTGGCCAAATCAACTCCGCCATTGCGAGTCTCAGAGAACTCGACAGTTGTGACGACAAGGACAAGTTTGGCGTCATTTGTAAGCCTATCATTGTCTATTGTAAACCTTCAACTCACACGTCTCATTAGCTCTCATAAGCGCTCCTTCTTCGCAATTTGTGGACGCCTTGGAGAGCCATTCCGAGATCAAGGCGGCTGTGTTCTACAACTTTGGCCAAGCACTCACGATTCCCACCCTTTCGCATCTCCCCAAAGCCCAGGCAGACAATCCCAAACCGACCCCTACGGCAAAGACACACTCCTATCCCGGAGCAAGCGACTTCTTCGTCGTCCCAAGCCATCCCAACTTCAACGCCAACGCCGCGGGGCTCGCGCACACCCGCACGCTGACGTTCCTGAAACCCCTCCTCGGCGGGCCGTACTTCGACCTCGAGGCCGTCTGGGAGGAACACACCCTCTTCGAATTCGGCGAGCGCAATGTCGAAAAGACCATGGCCACCATGGTCGAGCAGCCCTATGTGAGTCTCGTCGGGAGGTAGCTCTGAAGGGGAAGGTTGGCTAACACTGGCGCAGGTCAATCACATCCCAACGCTCACCGGCGGCGTGGGTCGTCAATACCTGACCAGCTTCTACAGAGACCATTTCATCTTCAACAACCCTGATGATACTGAGCTCGAGCTGGTCAGTCGCACGGTTGGTATTGACCGAGTTATTGACGAGTTTGTCTTTAAATGCACCCACAACAGGGTCATTGACTGGCTGTGAGTTTCTCCCAGCACGAGACAGGCGAAGAGCGTACTTCTGACCACGAACGCAGGCTTCCCGGCGTTCCGCCAACCGGAAAGCACCTTTCTATCCCCTTCACAAGCGTCGTGAATGTACGAGGCGACCACCTCCACCACGAGCACATTGCCTGGGACCAGGCTACCGCGCTGCGCCAGCTTGGTCTCCTGCCAGAGTTCCTTCCGTTCCCCTACCAGATCAACGGTAGTGACCCGGCGTCCGGAAAGAAGTTCGAATTCAAGCTGCCTGTCGCCGGCGTAGAGTCGGCGCATAAGCTCGTTGACGAGAGTGCGGTTGAGTCGAATGCCATGTTCGAGTATGGAACGAGAGAGGTCGACGCCTAGTTGGGTTGATTCAGGACGCTGCGACGCCAAGATAGTTTGAGTGCCTAAATTTCCGGTATAAAGTCAAGTCCAAGGTAGTCTGAAGTTGGCGAATGGTCATCTCTTGAAGCTGACACAATCGCTCTCTGTATTAGGTGTCTATTGTGTTCAGTTATGATATGACAAAGTGTACGCTACTCATTATGCAGTCGTCAAGACCCTTTTCAGACTCGGTTTGAGCCCAGATGCGAGGATCCGCTCCGTGAAGAAGACTCGTACTTTGTCGACGCCGTCGAGTCCTGACGAGACCGGCTCTCCTCGCCCCAACGGACCTCTTGGTCCACCGTGATCCGTATCCCGCCCTTCAGGGACAGGTCGTCGCATGAGCCCGAGTCCGTGTCCGGCGAGGGCTTTGTCGTCGCTCCTCCTCCTGTTCCTCCTCCTCCTGCGGATCGGGTCGAGATGTTCGTCGTGATACCGTACTTTCCGTCCTCGGTTCCCAGGCGCTTGAATCCTCTGTCGGCCGACTTCCCTCCCGTTCCCCCGATCGTCACGAGTTCGGTGGGCCCTCGGCTGGAAGCCTTTGAGCGGCTGCCGATCTGGCCTCCGGAGAGGTTGTACTTCGTCGCGATGCTGCCGAACTGCGACGAGACTTTGACCATGAGGGGGCGTAACGTAGGCAGGCAAGCGCTAATAACGCCACAGGCACATTCGACGACGCACCATGTACACGCAGTAGCGAGTGTCCCTAGATATATCGTTAGCAAGTGAGTCGAAGCAGCTGGCTGGGCGAGCCTTACATGTCGTGTCAGTGAGCTCAAACTGCATAATTGTCGTGAAGCGGTAGATACTGGCAAAGAGAACGCTGTTTCGATGTCAGCACTTATACGTCGTCTTCCTCAGGGCTCGACATCACTTACAATCCTCCCAATAGGAAAATGAAGCACAACGACAACCGCTGTGCCATCGTCACCTGCAGCTTCCACACCTGGCCGATGGGCAAGCACAGGATAGCAACGTCGGTCAAGATATTCGGGATGGCGTTGCCGATAAAGGACGCCTTAAGGTCGATGCAAGTGCCCTCGATCCAGGGCATGTAGGCCTTGGAAACGGGCGTGCACTGGAAGACGCAAACAAAGACGATGGCGAGCCACCAGCTGATAGTAAGGAGACCGAGCACGAGGGCAGCGATCTTGAAGCCGCGGCCGGGGAAGATGCGGCGGTACATGAGCAGCAGCGAGATCTTGATGAACATGACCGCCGTCACGTACACGCACTCAAAGGCCAGTAGCAGCTTAAGAAACTGGGTCAGCGTGTCTTGTGATAATGTTGCGGCGTGGCGGCCGAGGCCCTGTGCAATCACTGTGATTACGGTTAGTTTTCATGATGCCCTCACTTTTAACCATCGTCTTGTGTTGTGCTTACTGGCATAGTTGAGGGCTCCGGCCATAAAGGTGACAATCAGGCCAACCACCATGAACCAGTCATCGAGGCCATAGTGAAAGCCAACATTCCACCGCGCCCAGAACCGGAGACCGACAAAAACGGTTGCGAGAACGAGCAACGCCGTCGTGGTGCCGCTCAGTTCAGGCCCTCTATCCGCCAGAGGGTCTTCCAGAGCCGATGTGTCGGCCATTGAGGCTGAAGAAGGGAAAAGATGGGGGGGCGTGAAATCTCCGAGGCCAGTACAGAATCCAATAGTTTGTGAGTCAGTATCGTGGACACAACAAGCAACGAGTTAACGAAGAATCCAAATGCAAGAAACACGCCAGTTTTTCGGTATCTCTCTACTGCTTCCCAAAAATTTTCGGGTACGGGGATATCAAAAGGAAAATGAGAGAAAAAGAAAGCCTCGGACAAGAACAAAATGGAGCCTTTCTTTCCTGGATATCCGGGATGCGCAAGCGTAGAGTCCTTATACGCTTCTGCCATTGATACCCTGCTCGGTGCAGAAAATCGTGGTGAGATTCGACTGACTCGGCGTTTGAGGGGCGACAATATGCCGGCTTGTCAGGACTGGAGGCTTCAATGGGGAGGGTCCCCTCGAAGCCTGTCGAAGGGGGCCAACGTCGTACTGGCGATATAAAATCCGCATCGATATAACGTCCACCTCGAGGCCCTGCTGCCTCTTGTGTCCCTTGTCCCCTACCCAGTACTACGCAGAAGTGGTCCCCGTCACGACCCTGTGCTCCGAGCGCGACGTCTGATCGCAGCCAGGCTCATCACGGGAGTTCAGACAAATGTGCCCCATTGCTGATGTAACGTCAGTCCGCCCCATCAACACCACCTCAATACAGTCGCTATCCTCCGGTCTTGACGACCTCTTTCGGAAAAGGGGGACACCGTTGGGGGGGGCGACAGTTGCGACACTAATTCTTTTCTGTGATATCGACATGGGCATCATGAATTCTATGAGATTGAGGCAAAGACGAGGTTCATGGGAGCACCGGGAGCTGTCAGCAGAGTAACACGATAGAGAGTCAGAGAGTATCCGTTTGGATTATTGAACGAGGATAAAATGGCATGTTCATCTCTTCCTCCCCCTCGGCTTTCCTACGATAAGATACCCTCGGTTCCTCGCGCGTTGGCATCTCAAAAATCACTCTCTCTCTCTCGTGTAGCCTCTCCCTCTTACTCGATCGATCCTACAGCATCGTTCGCTAATACGCCTCCGGCATCCCACAACTCCTTACCCGTCGTTCATTTTACCAAAGATCCTGCACGTCAACGGTTACCCGTACCAAAACACTCTTGAACCTTGGTACACGTTGATCGGCAGTTGTCTGTGTGCTCCCCCCTTGACGCAACTTACACCACACGCCCCCCTACCACTCCCTCTCCCAAATCCATCAACATGCTCCCCAAGATCGCCAGTCTCCTTTCCTCGGCCCTCGTGGCCACCGCCGCCACTCTGCCCACCGTGGTCTTCACCCCGGGCGCCTGGCACGGTCCGCAGTCCTTCGACCTCGTCCGCGCCGGTCTGACGCTCAAGGGCTACGAGTCCGAGGCCATCACCCTCCCCTCCGTCGGCGCGGAGCCCGCGACCGTCGGTCTCGAGGAGGACGCCGCCGTCTTGCGGTCCACCATTGAGACCCTCGCCGACGCCGGCAAGGAGGTCGTCGTCGTCGTTCACTCGTACGGCGGCATGGTTGGCGGCAACGCCATCGAGGGCCTTGGCTACAAGCAGCGCGCCGCCAACAACGAGAAGGGCGGCGTCATCATGCTCGTCTACCTCGCCGCCTTTGCTGCCCCCAACGCTACCAGTCTTCTGGATATGCTCAGCGGAGAGTACCTCCCCTGGATGAGAGTCGAGGTAAGCATCTTCTTTGACACTTTGACACTGGAACCCAGTGCCAGTGGCCCCCCTCCCCATCCCACATGTCACTGTTTTATACCCTTGCTTGGCATGCGACATATCTAGAAACACGTCCCAAGAGACTCTGATCGAGATAATAATTCCCGCTGACACTGAATTTGCAGGGTGACAAGGTCTACGCTGATACCCCAGAGACAATCTTCTACGCCGATGTCGACCCGGTCCTCAAGGCCAAGGCCATTGCGGAGCTCAGCTGGCAGTCCGCCCGCGTCTTCTCCGACCCCGCGACCTACGAGCCGTGGAACGAGGGCATCGAGGTCATGTACTTCCACACCGAGCAGGACCAGGCTATTCCCCTCGCTACCCAGGAGGCCATGGCCGCCCAGTTCCCTACCGGCTACACCACCTTTTACGCAAACACCTCTCACTCCCCCTTCCTGTCCCGCCCGGACCTCGTCATTGAGGGTGTCGAACTCGCTGTCAAGGTTGGCCAGGAGAAGATTGCGGCTTAGATAGTTCTCTTGCGAGACCGAGTGTGTTTGCCTCGGACTGTTTGGAAGACTAGTTGTAGATCTTTTACGAAGAGAGGGCTGCCATGAGACTTGACCAAATCGAGACAAGAAAATAAAAAATAAAACAGAATTGTACAAGTGCACAGTTCTAGACCGGGTTCAAGGGAAAACATGCTTCAATCATTCGAGAATAGCCTCACCGGAACCAATCCTCACGCGTTTGAACCAAAACCTGCATGTGCTCAATGCTCGTCAAATCCGCTTCAACCTACCGGAACTTGGCCGCCTACCTTAGCATGCGTAGTGCGTATGCCCATATCCGTAGTAGGAAATAGCGTGACCAGGATCCCCCACCCGGATGAAGATCAGCGTAGCAAAGCCTCACTTACCCCTGGCTAGCCATAGTGGCATTCCAAATGCAACGCGGCAGATGTCGACCACTTGCGTGCTTTTTGGCGAAAGAAAAGCTGGGCACTTTCACTTGGGTTCCGTCAACGAAGCAGGGCCCAGGGGAGGAGGAGGGCCAAAATGGTAACCCAGTGACGTTTCGCGTAAAAGTTCGCGCAATAACAGGGAAAAATACAGCAGTGTAGACTATCCGTTAATATGAGAGAAGTCCAAACCGGGACGGCCCCCAATGAATAGAGAGAAAGATAATTCCCGGCTTTTACCAACGCACGCGCGGCCCGGTCGAGATCGTAATCCTGCCTGCCGGGGGACCGGAGGCAAACATGAATCAGCAACTCAGTGTAACTCTACCACATATAACGCGGACTACATGCCTTTTTTGCTCGTCGTGACATTGACAAGTGACGACTGGCTTCGAGGAATCGAGGGTAAAAAAGCATTGACAAAAGCCCACGGCAAGGGGCCCTGTCAGTTTCTGGTGGATCGCCTCCCCCTCGTCCCCTGGTGAAAAGGGCAGGGGTTGGAGAGGGTTTCTTCAGCAGTTGCGGAACTCCTGCGGTTCAGGTTCTTCAGCAGCTCTCGCAGGCAGGCCCGCCGGCTGGGGATAAGGGGAGAAAGGAGTTTGACGGGTGGGAACATATTGCATTTTCGAGACCTAATTGGAAATCCTTCCGTACATAGTATACGTAAACCTGACTCCCTCTTGTCTCTGGTGAAGCATTTCTTTTTCGTCCAAAGAAGAAGAGTCTTGTTGAAGGATGAGACGGCTGTCAAGAACTCGAGGTGCATGTAGTCAAAGTAAAGCTCTCCCTTGCGTCCAAGAATGTCTCCGGCAAAGTTCGGTAGTTGAGGTGATCCCCGAACCGGCGATCGGTTAGTTTAGTAGTTTTCGCGAGACCAGATTGAATCAAGAAAGTCTTCCGCGTTTCGCCTCGCCCTTGGTCTTCGTTGGCGTCAACAGAAAGGAAGGGCCTTTGTTTCTGCTTCTGGACGAGCAATGGATACTGCCAAAAGTCGACCGTTTCTAGGCCTAGTCCTCCGACCTCTGTGCTCTTTTCTTTGCTCGTCCCAATCTCCACAGTTCTTCCCATTCCTCTTTCGGAGCTTGCCGGCCGGGCCAGCGCAGCTATGACATTGACAGGCAGCGGGTACTGTTGTTCCTTTCGTTCGGAGTGAAGGCCGTTTTATCCTGTTGCCAAGTGCCAACTCGATGCGCCGTTGCAGTGCTCCGCAGCTACATGTCATCTGTCAAACTGCGTAGAGTCCACAATAAGCCAGTAGCTCAGTATGTATGGTATCGGTATCCGTAGTGAACATTATTAATTACATACTTCGTACCGCATCCACGGCACCGTCTTCCCAATCGCCTCCCACAACCCGCGGCAAGACGTGTCCGAGAATGTGACGCCGAAACAAAAAAAAACAAAAAAAAAAAAAAAAAAAAAAAAAAAAGAAAGAAAGAAAGGAGTTCCCAAAAGTTAGAATGTGATAAGCAGCAACCCCGGACCCGGGCAGAGAGATTGTGTTTTCTACCATCCTTGCTCAATAACAATCAAATTTCTGATTCTTCTTGCATCAACAGTGTTAAAGAGCGAGTGGGCGGTTCAAGGTTGCCCCCCTTCGTTGCCGCCCCAGAAGCCTAGAGGTCCAGACAAATTAGATTCTGCACGTCAAAAAAAAATGACAAGACGAACGAATCGAAGATCCCATCCCCCCCCCATGCCCTATATGCCTATCAGATGCCAAGTCTGAATAGTCCAAAACTCTCTCCGCGGTCTTTTAGCGTCTTGCAGCTCTGCATTCCCACCCATGTAAACTACGCAGCGTGCCCGAGAGCTAGAGACACTAAAGAATGCAAACCCCTGACACCCGACGACGGGGGCCTCATGTCGGGGTTAACTGTCAAAGGAAATTTGACAGGTCGATCTCGTTTCAATCAATGAGTCCGTCTCATTCTTTTTATTTCATCCCGCGGTGCCTGCCAACCCCCGTGCGCCCCCCCCCCCCCCCCTCTTCCGTACGGGTTCTTCCGCGGACGGCGCGATATAGAACCGTCTACTGCAGGTTTCAGCTCCTTCTCCGTTAACGGCAAGGACGGACACGAGGAAGGGACGGAAAGCACGGGAAGCCGCGGCTGCGCTCGATCGGCGCGAGAAAGGAACCCGCTGTCTCTTGGTCTCACTTTTCTTGACGATCGATATTGTCTGTTCCTTCGCCGAACCATGGCGGCGGGAGTGTGGTTCTAGACTTCCTAGTCTCTTACCTTATTTGTCCCGTCTTAGTTCTAGGCCTTGGAGGCTGAAAAACCAGGCTGTCGACGACGACACTTGGGAAGACTAATGCGGCTCGCATAGTAGGTTTCGATAGTACGACGTATCACGAAGCGGACGGGCTTTCCGCGGCTGACCCTTTCGATCAACGCCCATAAATCACGTCAACGCCGCAGCCCGGTCCGCAGGCCTCCGCAGGAAGATGGCGGCAAAATAGGGTAAAAAAAGGGAAGACAGGCGATTTTCACTCCTTCACCCAGTGTCCCCGGAACTGAGATGCCGTATGCCCCTCCAAGCGTGCCCCCCCCCTTATTCGCAGTGGAAACTGCAACGTCCCGAAGCACATTTTTGTTGCTGCTAGCGTCTGCGAAGAGGGAGGGACATGGGAGCCCGTCTAGCGGTGCCCACAAGCGGCTGTCTGAGTGCCAGGACTGCCAACAAGTTTTGTTGGCAACAACTTGACGCCCTGGTAATCTTGACGACCATCACCGTACAATAACGTCCTCAGAGCAGACGATCATTTGGACTGCTCAAAGGGAATACTACGTAAGCACTTGAAGGTTAGGCACATCTCCGCTTCGGTGTTGGAAGACATCCGGAACCCGATGATCAGCATCCAGAATCCTGACCTGGTTGGGGGTTAGAAGGCGATCTCGAAGCTCGAAACCCGAAAAAACCGAAAGCCCCCAGTAGACACCAACCAACCCATGCAAGCCCGCAGATCTGTATTTCCAAAGTCGCCGAGAGGGGAACAGCCGCAGCATGGGTGAAGAGGGTGAGAGGATGAACAATGAGGTTTGAAATGCTGAAGGAAATCCTCATGATCTAACTCATCCCACTCATCTCATTCTCACTCCCACAAAAGGAAACCAGTTATTTTATCCCCCGCGATAAAAGGGAAATCAAGCACATGGCCCTCCCAGGGATATAACTCCGCAAGGTACGGAGTACACAGACCGGAGAAATCAAGGAAATGATAAATAACGACACCAGTCGCAAAAAGTATCCGTACGGAGGATTTTTTATACGATTTGTGAAGGTTAATAATAGAGAATAAACTCCGCCCATCGATGAGTTATTTGCTGTTTACCGGGAGCGTGGATGACATCGTATGTACCTTATGATGTGCCTCGGGCAATGCGCGCGCGCTCTCTCGCTCTCTCTCTTCCCAATGAGGAAGAAAAATGGGCAAAACTGCACATCGCATTACTGGTTTCGATACCCTGACCAGGGCTGGTGGGAAATGAAAGGCGAGGGCGGTTGATTGCGAGATGCATCCGAGCTTCCATATGTTTGTACTCTCAGCTCTGTGCCGCTGAGTGAGCGAACAAGTACATGGTTGTTGCTTACTGTGATGCCCAGGGTAGCGAGAACGATGACCGTGAGTAGCGAGGACCTTGACTCCGTACTCAATGTCATCGTCATGAGATTATCAGCTCGTCCACCGGATAATCTGACGTTGTTCATCCATCCATGCAGAACTCACAATCGCGTCTCACATCATGTGCAAGTAGTGTGTACTGTAACTCGAGGCTCATTATTCTCCATCTTCAGTGTCATTTCTCATCGAGATATTATTATACACTCTCTTGTTTCATGCCCCCTGGTGCCCGTGAAATGCCAAATCTTTATAGCCTCTCTCCATTCGCCAGCCCATGCGTGAATGTCAAGGAGAAGTCCAACCATGCCCATGCTTTATCGTCGGGTCCTTCCAGCGGCCGCTCGCACGTACAAAAAGAGACAGTCCGCTGTCTCGTCCCAGTATATAAACCCCCGTCCTGGCGCGAGGACGTGAGGAGGTGTTGAGTTTCGTAAGAAAAATAGGTACAAAAAGGACAGCATCCCGCTACAAGCGTAGCGGCAAAAGCCCAAAGAATCGAAGAGGGGGGTATCGGTTGCAACGCAGAGACTATGTGATGGGAGCCAGGAAAGGGCTGAGCATCAGCTCGTCCGCACTCGGCCGCAGGTTGTGATCCATCTCAAAGGTCTGCGCAAGGAACGTCTTGGCATCTTCGGAAGCGTGATCAGGAATCGTGGGCGCCGCCTTACCACCACCAATCTTGAAGATGGCCTGCAACTGACTGCAGTCGGGGTATGGATGCGTGCCTGTCATCATCTCAACAACCAGGCATCCGAGCGACCAAATGTCGGCCTTGCGGGTGTACGAGGTCTGCTTGACGACCTCTGGGGCCATCCAGAAGACAGATCCCTGAAGGGAGGGGCGGTGCTTATTGTTGTTCGCGCCGGACAGGATGTTGGTGGCTTCAAGCTTCTTGGAGATACCGAAATCGGAAATCTTGATGGTGCCCTTGTTGTCCACGAGAATGTTGGCGCCCTTGATGTCGCGGTGAATGATCTCACGATCGTGGAGGTACGACAAACCAGTCAAAATCTGGCGGACGAAGCTGCGGACAAGAGGCTCTCCGAGAGCACCATACGAGTTGAGCATGGTCTGCACGGAACCACCAGGGACGTATTCGAGGAAAATGTTTAGGTACTCGGTAGATGAACTGCAACCCAGATACTGAACGATATTCGGGTGTCGAAGGTCGCGGAGCAGACTGATTTCCCGCTTAAGGGCCTCGATCATGCTCTTCTTGCGTGCATCGTTTTGGCTGTTGGCACCCGGGGCGGGCGCCTCGACCTGCTTGACGGCCAGAAGCTCACCAGTGACGGCATGCAGGGCGAGGTAGACACAACCGAACGAGCCCTGGCCGATGAGGGCTCCCTTCATCCACTTGTCGTCAGACCAGGACTCTCCCGCAAGGAAGCTCTCAAGCTCCTCATCGGCGTCCTCGCCATCTTCGTTGAGCGCCGCCGTAAGATCTTTGAGTGAACCTGAACCCGTTGAGCCGTCGGTCTCGAAGTAGCTTCGCCGCGTAACGTTACCTTCGGGGTCGGTCACGCTGAGAGCGGCTGCACTAGCACCGTCGGAGCTGTCGGCGAATGACACGTAGGACTTGCGGTTCGGCTCGACAGGCGACTCCTCTTGCAAGGTGTCAAGCATTGAAGAAGCGACAGAGTCGCGGAAGTGGGTGACCCGCAGGCCTGATCGCGCCTTGGGGGCACTGCCGGCGTGGAGCCAGCTGTCGGCAATGGTCGGGATAGGGGGTGCATCTTGGATACTAGACGCGAAGCTGAGGTTGCTAGCCACACTCAGACGGCTGTTGACCTTGCTCAGACGGGTCGATCTTCTCATGGACAGACGAGCGGTCCTGTCAATCTCCTCTCTGGGGTGATCCGGGAAGTAGGAGGTGAGGTCCGAGGCGATGAGCTCGCTGGGAGGACGCAAACCGCCAAACGACCGCAAGATGCCCTTATTCCTCCTGGGTCCGCCGGCAGATCTAGGGCCGTCGTTGGATGCGGGACGCTCCAGCTCCTTGGCGGTGTTGTACACGTTGCGCTCCCGGTCGTGGAAAGAGACCGGGGAAAGGGGGTGCTGCAGCTCATCGTTCCATCTCTCGCCAAGCAGTTTTTGTACCTTCATCTGGCTTCTCTTATCCACAGTCTCAAGGGCGCGGCTGTGGTTCTGCTGCGCCTCCTCAATGGCGATGCCCGCTGCTCTCTCGAGCTCGGGCATGCCTGGCTCGCCAGCAGGGACGCGGCGAAGAATCAGGCGATTCCGTTCAGGGCGTTTCTGGTCCTTGATGATGCGCCATAGCTCCGTGTCGCCGAGTCTCCGACACTGATTCGGGTCTGGCTCAATCCCGGCCAGTACCCAGAAGCAGTAGTTCCTTTCATGGTCCTCTCGCAGGGCAAACTTCCTGAGGGTAACTCGCATGACCTCCTCGCATGTGTTGCAGTCGGCGATTTTGACGACCTTTGTGACTCCTCCGGTGGAAATGACGCGGATAACATCCTGATTCTGCGGTAAGCCAGCCATCAGTGAACCATCCATACTGGAGTTATTCCTGGTATGGGAAGTTACCAATCGGCCGGTCTGGGGAACGGATTGCCCGGCGCTACTCACATAGCCGGGACTTTGGCCATATCTTGTTCGTAGAGGGCGAATGGCGTCCGTGCCGGGAAGGGGTGAGTTGGGGCGGGAAGACGCGCTCTCCAGGGGAAGGGAGTCGTATTGTCTTGAATACCGCTTATTCATGGAAGGCGTGGGCGCGGTGCGAGCGCTCGAAGCAGAGGGCCGAGAAGATCCGCCCGATGAAGGGGTGAACTGGTCGAGGCCACCAAACGAGTCCTGTGTCGGTCGGATGTCAGCTGTGTTACCCATTGCTGACGACGTCTCACGATGCCGCAGGGGAGAAGAGCCAGGGGAAGACGATGTTCCACGTACCCTATTCCGTTTCTTCTGGTTGGCGTAGGCTTTTGTCCTCAACTTCTTAATGCCCAAGAACAATCGCACGCGGTCGCCGACCTTTTCGATACCCATTTCCTTGAGGACATCCTTGTCGAGTTCGAGAAGGTTCTCGCCATTGATGTGGTTCTTGCGGAAGAGCTTCTCGTATTCGCCGCACTTGACGCTCCTCAGATAGTCGCAAACCTTGTCCTCGTCCCAGTTCTTGACGGCATCGGGGCCGTCGCTCTCGGAAAATTCGGATTCGGTCGGGCTGGCGTAGGCGGTGGCCTGGTTCGGGATCGTGGGCGCCCGTCTTGAGGGCGGTGCGGCACCGGTAGAAACGTTGGAGACCATGGGGTTGCTAGAGCCCAGCGGTGCCGGGAATGCGGTTTTGGGGGCCAGCATTGCCATCTTCTAATCGTGGTATGTCAGGTGGACATTGACTGAAGTGAAGTTGGCGTGTTCGATGGCGGTGGCGGTGGTGATGGCGGGAGGTGTTTGTCTCAGCTGCCTCTCCTGGAGCGCGTCGTGCCGAGAGAGGATTCCGTCAGGCAGGTGTCCGAGACAGGGAACAAGGCGTCGGGCCGGATGCGATAGAAGCGAAGAAGTTGCAAGATGGTAAAACTGTGGAATGGTGGTGTCTCTTGCTAGATCCGGGTCGTGGAATGTCGAGCCTCTTCAGTGCCGGACCGTGAAGGTCTGGATTCTGCTTGGACACGCAGAGGAGGGAATTTGGTGAGGGCGAAGGTCGTGTGTGGAATTACGGATACTCCGGCCGGGAGGGAAAAAGAGGAGGGAAGGGGAGGGTTAATGATGGATTTTGGGGGTGCAGGGGACTTTGCACTTGGGAGCCAGCGGCAGGGAGGGGTGTGTGAGTGTGTGGTGCAGGTGCAAGCAGCCTCAGGTGAGGTATTATCACATATGATTTAGGTGGGGAGATACTTCAGCCTTGGGTGGGCAGCAGCAGCCAGCACCACCACAGAGACCTCTACCTGAGGTGAGAAACCACAGACCATACAGCAGGGGGGGGCGAGGAGGGGAGAGGAGGGCGGCAACAAGCTTCCAATGCTTCTTCCTTTGTCACTTGTGTGCTGTCTCAGCAGCCCGTGAAAGGAAATGTACTTGGCTGAGGCTCCAATGCAAAGAGGGATCTCTCCAAGGTGCGCTGTGTGTGTACAACCTTGGAACAACGGACGGTATCACTGTACAGCAAAGCAAAGCATAGCATAGCAAAGCTGAGCTACAAAACACGATATTTAGAAGCTGCACAGTCCTCGCAACGGCCCTGATGCGTCTGTTCGCTTGAGGCGGAAACTTGGGGGAAACAAACACACTCGAGAAGCTTTCCGCGGAGTCTGCCCTTGAGTCTTGGGCTCCAGCCACTGTGTGTAGGTAAGGTATGTGTGAGAGAGAGAGAAAGAGAGAGAGAGAGAGAGAGAGAGGCAACGTTGCGAGGGGTACGACGACAATGAGGCGTACGGCAAGGTTTTGTTCATGTTGTTTGAGGTTTGGTCTTTTGATGTATTGTTCAGTTATCCCCTGCTTCTTCTTCGTCACCCAGCCTTTGAACAGTGATTCCTCATTCTGCATGTTACCTGCCTATCTGTCCGTACCTACCTTACTCAGTACCTAGAGAGAGGCTCACACTACCTTACCTTAATAATGTGTTCCAAGATGCTATCAAAGAGCCTCCATCTCTGGCCAACTTACCCGGTTCCCTCGGGCTTGCGGTCCACTCATGAGCGACATTACACGGCAAAATGGCACGTCGTTCAACAAGGTTTTCGCTGGCCAAAGGCTTCTTCTCTGTCTCTCTCTCTTCCATGATGAGTCTCACTGTCTCAGGCGCGATGGCGGATCATGGATGGAGCACAGTAGCCCCTGTCTACACCCTTGGCAACATGGCAACCTTTAAAAGGTCGTTTGCAAGGGTATGGCGACGGCTGCGGCTTCATGAAACTGGCTCAAGCAGGGTCAACGCCGCACGTCCCCACCCAAACTTTGGCTCTGCAGCGGCACCTGCCCTCCTCACTGCTCAGTACCTGCCCTCCTTAGCACCTGCCCTCACTGCTTGACTGCCCAGTCAGTACCTTCCATTGTTATTTTACTGCCTTTGACTGAGGAAGGCACTCCAGAAACGCCATCGACCGTGCCTTCCCGTGCTTCCAACTAGAAACGTGACAATGTACCTGAGAAAGAAGTCCTGGAATTACTCAGCCGTGCCGTGCCGTCTTACTGTTCCCCCAATGCCCCCAACGTCCCCCAATGTCTCTCCAACGTGTAATTTGCCCTCCTCAATGCGCCGTCATGCAACCCCCGCCCAGCCAATCGCTGCCAAGTCGATATCTCGTGTTCTTGTATTGCGGTGTGCCACAAGAGACCCAAAGGTGCATCTTGACCCATCACGGTCTGTTCCTCATGACGACCAGACACCTCAAAGTCTGCAGGGACTCACTCTTAGAAGAAGAAAGAGGGCAACAAAATAGCAACGACGTCCAGCCACGAAATCTGTGAATAGTGGCGGATGGCGGATTGTAGCTCATTCAGCTGCCGACCAAGCTCAAATTGTTCTTCCGACATACCAGAATATCCTGGCTTCTACGTTCTCGCTCACCTCTGGAACAATCCTCCACGCGCCCATCCAAGTCCTTTTTTTTTTTTTTTGTGCTATTCTTGGCCCGTCAGCAAACCCGCTTGGTTGCGCGCGCCGCCGCCCCTTGCTTGCAAGACTGTTCCTATTCAAAGCCTCAGACTCTGTTCGCCAAAGCCACGTCACGGCGCCTCTCTTCTAACCTCTGCCGCCCTTGACTCCCGACAAAGATAGGATGCAATTTCCTCTGGAACACAATCTTCCACAACGACGGCTTCGGCCATACCTTGAAAGCCACCGAGGCGTACGGATACCGAGGACTCAGAGCTAAGTAGCCACGCCATCATGCACGGCCTCGCCTCCGTGGTGCCAGACGTCGTCTTATCGTCAGCCTACCCGGAACCCGCCCGCAGAGGCCTGCTCACGATCCTTTCTCGGCTGCAAGTGACAAGGCACCCGATCATTCGTACAGTTTGGCATGCCATGTTCCGTGTTCTACACTACGGAGATGCACCAAGCTCTGGCATGAGCTCTCTCCACAACAATACCCGGCTCGATGGAGGTCACCGTCGCAACCGGACGCTGTCAACACCAAGAGCTTGTCCGTCTCGCCCGGATCACGAGAGGGCCAGAGATCCCCGCTGCGATGATACCTCCGCCGGTTCCACCCTGCTTGGGTCCTGGGACGATGACACGATTACACGATAGGCGAAGGTTGGTTTGGCCGCTGGCCAACAGGCGAAGATCTTGTCCGTTGAACGGATGTCATACAATGGAGCCGACTCCTTGCAACGTGATAGGCCCAGTGAACAGACCAACGCACCCTGATGATTTGGCTGCAATCCCCTATTTGTTTTTGCAGCCTACCAGGAGCACGTCGCCACCGACCATCGTGAACTACCTATTGACGAGCCAAGAGATGCCCGCTAGAGAAGTCAACTATCAGCTAATCGCCGAGGACAGCACAACAGGACTCCATGAGACCAGAGTGACAACGCCGATGGAGGATTCGCCAGAGTTGTAGAGGCCGGCAACATGGCCCCGTCCACCGATGATTGGCTCCGGCGCACTCCCGCACTCACTCGGAGCTGGATCGCTTGAAACTAGTCTTGTCGCACGTCTCAACACCCTCTCCGCTGCCCTGCATCCCTGGATTCCCTAGTGCCTACCTCTGGGCGCCAATATCCCGCTGTGTCTTCACTGGTGCTTCATTGGACACCAGCGACTACCAAGTACCAAGATTTAACCACCACGGCACCACTGCACCGCTTCACCAGTCTCTGTTTGGGCGGTGGCTCGCAAGACGGGGTGGGGAACTTGGGGGGAGCCGCGGAGCGTCCTTTCTGCTTACCCTTCGGCGTTGGCGTCCCCTCAGATTAATTAACACGGCGACGCCAGTCTGAGCCCTAAGCACCGTTCACCGTCACTTTGAGTATCGTGGATCATCCCGGCTGAGCTTCACCCTTCCAGAGCCTCTTTGCCTTCTTTGGCACGTCTCGAGCCAATCACCTACATTGTCATTTCAAGCCGCCTTTTGACTTTTCTCTGGTTGCAAGAGGTGCCGTGTGACACACAGCTAAGCTCCAAGCGGCATCCTTCTTCCTGTAATACCTCTGATTGTTACGAGAAAATCAGGGCTAGGAGACATCACAATGATGACCTGACAGCTGTGTACACCGAGTACAGATAGACGTCACCTTTCTTTTTCCTGCAACCTTTGACCCACGTTCTGCGAAATTGACAGCGCTGAGGTGCCATTCCACGGCATGTTGGTGGATTTGGTTACGCCAACGCTGCTATTTTGGAAAGATACGCAGCCGTTTGGGGAGCGCGTAACAAGCCTACAAAGCACGTCCCCCCTCGAGGGGTGTACGAGCTCGAGTGACTTTGGCCGGCAACCACCACTGCTCTACGCACGGGCCAGAAATGCACGCTTTAGTGAGGGAAAAACACAAAAACCGCCGCATTAACCTCAACTCTAGAGATAATTGAATTCTGATAACGCAAATCGAATTTTTAGCCCAGTTTCAACGCACTCATCTCGTGCCTGCCTGATGCATGTAGGGTGGGCGTTGTGCATCCCTAATAATATATTAGAAAATATGTTGGGCGAAAAGACTTTGACATGGAGAAGTTGGATTTTTTCGGCCCGTACGTGCCGGCTCGAAGTACTGGGTGTGCATGTAGGGCGAGGGGTGGGAAGTCGATGAGGCCCGAGCTTTGTAGGCTTGCTACGCGCTCCCGCCGTTTGTGCCGTCGTCGCACAGAAAGACGCGCAGGGCACCTCATGCACATCCCCATCTGCTCCTGATGCTGATTCTTCGGCGAAAGCAGTCCGCGACTGTGGAGACATGCATGCAGTCACTGCAGTCATGCGAAGGAAATGAGTTATGGCCCGATCACCGCCAAGTCGCCACCCAAGGAGAGGGGAAACACACACGGTTAACGAAGACATGGCATTTGCCGACACAGATGACTCCTCGAAACCTGACGATATTCCCAAATATGTCCCCCTTAGAGCGCGCCGCTCACGTTTCAGAGCAGACCGCCTGTGAACCATCCAAGAAGAGCGTATCCTTCTGCAGAGCAATCCCAGATCCGGCCGTCTGGTCAGCTAAAATGGAGTGCCAACGTGGCCTGGTCAGAGCGGGCGTCAACAAGCCTGAAACATGAAACCTTAGAAGATCTGCCTTGCATATCCAGTGGCCATCTCAAGGCGGTACAAACATTTCGGCCTGGTGCTAATCCCCCTCATTCAGAGAAAGCCATCGTCCCAAGCCACGCTGCCACTCTGCCATAAGCGATGGAGATCGGCTTGTGGGAAGGTCTTCTCCCGGCGTGCCGGCACCTCACTACCCTTCCTAGCTGCTCATCACGGACGACGACCCTTGCTGCTCCTGCTTGAGCCTTTCCGTTCAAACTTGACGTCGTCAGCCGTGGCCTGTGTGACCACTGACCGGTTGCCTTCCACGTGGACAGGGTTCTGAAGGAGCAGAAACATGTTCAAAGACCAAGGTGAGGCTACGACCGCCTTGTCGTCGCAGGTAATACTACTCGCGATGAACTTTCATACTCGTATCGCGATCGACGGAACGGGACCGAGACCGAAGGATTCGCCTACTAGCTGTCTCCGTGTTGCTATGAAAGCTACGGGGCAACTTTCATGACTGTCCCGCTATCATTTCCCTGCTTTATTCTGGAAGTTCGCTCCAAAGCTGCTGTTGCGCTACACATGCCACGCATGCTTCACCCCTGCAGGAGAGTCGAAGCAACACAACAGCATGTACTCCGTACATTGCAACTTGTGAGAGACGGCTATTTCCACAAAGAGCTCCAGAAGGAAATAAAAGAAAAGTCTACTCCAAATTGGAGGAGAATAGAGTTGCGACGAACTCCCAGCTGGGATTGGTGCGGAAACGCTAAAAACCTAACTAGGCACGCCAGGATGCGCCACTTGCCGGCAGCTTTCGGACGAAGTCTATACTCCACAATGCTCCGCCGCCACCGCCGCCCGCCGCGACCACGAGTTCCTATTTGGGCACTGTCGGCAAGTCGGTCTGTCGGGCGGGTCGCCGGTCTCCGCATGGCCGGCTATCGGCCTTCTCCCTTTCCCGGCATAGACGGAAGAAAGAGGAGTCTCGGGCTCCGGAGGACTCGTCGGTCTCAGCATGACGACGTCGTTCCGGACGCATGACGCTGCGGGGCTTGTGATTCAACCACTGTTTCGTGTTTCTCGTGTACGCGGGCTCATCGGGATGGCTGGCGGAGGGTGAGGGCTGCGGTTTCGCGGACGGGACGAACCTCTGTCTCCAAGCATCATCATCGTCGCTCTTCCGGTGGTTCCGTCGATGAGTCTCGACGGCACTTCTCCGTCCAATTCAAAGCGCTTGTCAATACGAAAGGCAAAGCCCACATCGTTTCGAGTACAGGTTCTCGTGATGCCAACTACTGTGGTTGCTGACTGACCGATGCGTCAGTGCTTCAACTGATGGGTGAAGCGACTTGGCTACCTGATAAGCAACACCCTACGATGGCAAGCACACCAGATCAACGTGGGCAATCAGATACGTCGTCATCTTTATCTAGGGCTTCCTATCATGGACCAAGGAGCTGTTGAGGACTGCTTGCTTCACTGGGGGGGATGGGCACGTTTCCTTGGAAATGGCGGGGCGCGAGGGTGCTGTGAATGATAAGACACCCGACGGCAGTCGGCCGGCTGAAAATATGAACGGCAGTCGAGGGTGACCGCCTTTGCTAATAGTCCAAGGGCCCCCTTTTCGTGACCGAGAGCGTTATGATATCATCTACGTTCAATGTTGACGAGGCACCACACATACGACGGCCAAAGACTCTTTGGGCTGATCCTTTGACAAGCGCCTCCCCCGCGAAAGCAGAATCGTCGTCGTGCTCGAGTACGCGCTTGATGCTTACAGAGCGAATAAATCGAGAAGTAGACACACTCGGTCTACTTGTATGGCCCAAGTAGCTCACGTGAGAGCCGGAATGTCTTCAGAGACGGGATGATCCGCTGTCAGTACTAGGGCGGAAGCGACGACTCTTTTTTCTTTGAGATGAGCTTCTGTATCTCACCCATTGTGAGTTTTGATATCGTGGAACGGTTACCATCTGAGAAACTTGCATTCTGATTAGACCAAACAATGACAATGACTGACCACGAGTGTTCAACAGGTAAATCAAACCATCGACTCCAAGCTGTTGGGTGGACGAAGTTCGCAAATGTCTTAGTCGCGGGCCCGGCATTGCTCGTCGGCGAGTGGAGCATCTTCCCCATGCCCCGCGGGAGAAGCCCCCTCCCCAACAAGAAAAGAAAAAAAAGCCCAGTCCACCACCTCAACCTCCGATATCGACGACGACAACCACCACCACGTCAAGATTTCCAACAGCTCCATTCGTCGTCGTCTTTGCGCCCCATCAACTGTAGCACAAGGCCAGCTCAGTGAATGAAATTGGCTTCGTATTCGAGATAGTACAAGGGAGCCGTCTTTTGTGCTCTGCAGCAATCGAACCGCGCCAAGGTGCGACCCCGACGCGGCTACCCGGGACCCGGAAATAAAGGGCCCCTCCTCATCATCATCATCCTCCTCCTCCGCCGACTTTCACGACCACACAGACGACTTCTGTTCGTGTGTGTATGAGCTCTTTCCGGCGGATACTCATCCACGACTACCTTCTCTCCCCGCCCTTAAAGGTCTCCTGCAAAATTACGCTCACGCACTTTCACTCATCCCTCGTCAAAAGACTTTTGGGCCACGTCACAGTCAAGCCATGAATGACAAGTCACAGGTTCCGGCAGAGGCCGTAGGCGGAGGAGTCAAGCCTCTGGTGGGCTTCCTGGGCCCCCAGGCCTCGTACACGCACCAGGTAGGTATCACGAACCTGGAGGAGAGAAACCACACATCGCACGGCATATGCCAAGTGAGTGTGTGGAATCGTCAATCATCTCTAACTTTGTGTAATCGCAGGCTTCGTTGCAGGCTTTCCCGGAAGATGAGTGGGATCTGAGACCCGTCGTCAACATCACAGGCACGTAACTCACCAACCCCCTTTCTCTCATATGTCGTCTCTGCTAGTCTTGGCAACCCCCCTTTCTCCTTCTGTATCTCTCTCTCTCTCTCTCTCTCTCTCTCTCTATCTTTTGTTCGTTCCTGCGCCGTGCCGTGTGCCACCTCCCGTCTGACTTGAATCGGAACCTCCCATCAGACATCTTCGAGGTCGTACAAGCCGGCGAGGTCGCCTTTGGCGTCGTCCCCGTCGAGAACTCAACCAACGGCTCCGTCCTCTTCACGCTGGACAACTTTGCCGACCGCAACGGCTTGTACCCGGACATCTCGGTCTGCGGCGAAATCTACCTAGACGTGCACCACTTCCTCGTCGGCCGCCGCCCGGCCCCAGACGTCATCGCTGCCGGCCCCCCGGGCCAAGGACCACCACGGGGCGGCGGCGGCGGAGCCGGAGACGAAGGCTCCGGCGCCTGCACGCCGACGGCATCGGACCCGAACCCGCTCAAGCCGCGCACGAAGCCGCTGTGCAGCCTCAAGCACGTCCGGCGCCTGTACTCGCACCCGCAGGCGTGGGGCCAGTGCGTCGCCTTCTTGCAGACGTACCTCAAGGGCATCGAGGCCATCGACGTCAGCTCGACGTCCCGCGCGGCGGAGCTGGTCAGCCTCGACGAGACGGGGACGAGCGCGGCCATCTCGAGCGAGATCGCGGCGGGGATGCACGGCATCGACGTGCTCGCGCGTACGATTGAGGACCGCGAGGATAATACGACGCGGTTCTTTATCATTCGCAAGGGGCTCGAGCAGAAGAAGATGCCGGGGCATTGTGTCCGACCGAAAGCGAGGACAAAGTCCATGGTGTCGTTTACGGTCCCGCATGAGGCTCCGGGAGCGCTGGCAGATGTGTTGGAGTGTTTCCGACGGTACGGGACGAATCTTACGAGCATCAACAGCCGGCCGAGCCTGACGGCGCCGTTCAACTATGTGTTTTTTGTCGAGTTTGAGGGGCATCGGTTCCGGGATCCGGAGGGGAGGGTGAAGGGGGCGTTGGACGGGGTGGCTTCGGTGGCAGAGAGATGGCGGTGGCTTGGGAGCTGGGAGGACCAGCGGTCGTGAGGGGGACTGGCTGGCTGGCGGTCTCTCCTCTTTCCTCGTGACTTGGCTTGTGGTCTCTCTCTCTCTCTCTCTCTCTCTCTCTCTCTCTCTCTCTCTCTCTCTTATCTGTCTCTCTTTCGGTGTCTCTGTCTGGGTTCTGGGTCACCCCCCTTTCCCTCATTGAGAGAACAAACCCCCCACCCAACAACGAGACCTGCAGAGAGATTTCAGCTTCGCCAACTCTGTGGATGTCGGCGTTGGCGACGGCCGAAGATCCCTGAGCAACGTTGGCATGGCACGCGGGATATGCTTTGAGGCTGCATCTGGTCTACATGCGAAATACTAGGAGGTTTTGCGGACTACAGCCTACGAGGGCCACGAGGGCCACGAGAGACGGGGCGGTGGGCTGTCACGCCCATGCTATTGCTGGGCACAAGGGGAGTCTATTGGACGGAACAGGCCTGGACTGGCTGACGACATCGCGACTAATGTCGATTCGAGATAAGGAGGTGCATCAAAGGGCTGGAACCAGGTCATCAGAACCCCCAGGAGCGTGGGATGAACTGACTCCTCCCCTCTTAGCCATTGTGTAATGGAAACCGCGGAACGAAAAAGTCTTCTCGAGGCTCAAGTCCTTTGAGACCCCTTTCCATGCTCTCTTACTCGCTCTCTGTTCGTTAACCACCTTCGAAACCTGGCTGTGATGGACTGATGGATACTGGGAAAGGTCTGAAAATGCCTCTTCATACCCTAGCTCTGTAATGGGCTGATGGATACCTTGGAAAGTTGCTGAGAAGAGCTTTCATGCCGAGTCTTCACGCCGAGCTGGTGGCGTTGTGAGACCTGGTCAGGAAGATGTCGTGAAAAGGGGACCAGAAAAGGGGGCCGAGAACGATGGTGAGAGACCACGATTTCCCATCTTACGGATGAGTTGTCATATGCAGAGATTTCTTTCCCAACCAGCGAGCCAGCAACAGGTTGGCGGAGGAGAAAGCGACGGATCAATCGCCACAGCGCGAGCTACATGTGATGGTCCCAGAGAGAGAGAGAACATGAGTGAGATGAGCAGAGGGCTGGTCGCGTGCCCTATGAATGTCTCACAGCGCCCGTCCGTCCACATTCATGGCTACGGTCACACACCCCCAAAGGGCCAAGCCAACAGCATGAGCAGATTGCCAAGCAGCCCAACTATCTACCGTCTGGGCCCTTTTTACAATGCGCTGGCTGTTGTAAAGGATCGAGACCAACGAGTAGAGCCAAAGTTAGTTTCGCGAAGCTCTGCAATGGGTGTGGAAGGGGTCAAGAAGCTCTTGCAACTGTTTAGCGTGGCGTTGAGGAGGGGGGGGGTTGTCGGGGTTGCCAGAAGCTCTAGGAAGCTCTGCGAAGCTCTTGCAACTTGTTGAGGTGCGCACCTGCTCTGTCTGCCGAGCACTTGCCCGCAGAGCTGAACCCCTCTTTCTCGTCTTGCTACCTTACTTTCCCCCTCCTTCCTCAACGGACCGGTCCATGGTCGGTCTTGTTGGATGTCTTCTTTTTTTTTCTGCCCGTTCACCTTTCGGCCAGATTCTGGTGGTGGATCGGCAACTCCACGTCCATTACGTCCAAATTACATGGACAAGACGTGCTGGAATCGCAACACTTGCAGGACCCCTGGTTGAGGTGGTCTGCTGTTGTATGGCGACCAAAGTTGGTCCAACAAAGCTGGTCCTGGATCTGGGCCATTGTCTTTCCGATTACTTTACCTCTTCTCGTGCTTCCTGATGCTCTGATTCTCTCGTCCACCTCCTAATACCAGATGCCGAATATCTGCCGTCACAAACACAAGGGCCAGGCCGAGGTTTTCGACATGTCGCCAGATGGAGCTCAGCTGGAGCACAATGATGCTCGTCGCTGGATCCCGCGCGAGATGCTCCACACGTCGACACACGTTCCGCCGCGGAACGTCTCCATTTGCCCTGCTTTTTTCTGGGGGTCTCTCTTCCTTTGGTGTAATTCCTAATGGGACCCATTCGGGAACTTCCCTGGGGGGAGGGGGGCCTTGATGCCATGACCGAGCAAAAAACTTGCGTAAGGTAAAAAAGTACCCACGCTGCAAGTGTCCAGATTCCCGCAAAATACCCTTTTTTTTTTTCTGTTCGTGTCGCGCGTCTGTCTGCCATACTGTACCTATTTGCATGTTGCTGCACGCAAAAAAAAAAAAAAAAAAAAAAAAAAAAGACAGAGTTTTTTTCCCAGCTTGTCCCATCCGACAAAAGCGGGCTTGCAACACTCGGCAGACTTTTAGTGCTGCTGGGGGCGCAGAGGCGCCTGTGTGCAATTGGTGTGTGCCGGATCAATTCCTTGTGCTATGACGTGTAGTGCGCGTAGTAAGACAAGGTTCGCACCGCGAGGAAAGGATGGGAAAAGAATACACTTACGCCTTCCCCCATCCGAAGACCACCTCCCTCTCAGTCAGTATCTGACCCTCTACCAAGCCTGAGCCTGAGATGTAGGTATCCAAAAGGCAAAGGTATCCGTGGAGCAGGTACCAAAGCTGAACCATCTGGTCTCCGGACGATGTATCTTTTGCTTGTTTCCTATCAGTCTTTTGCACTGCTGTTCGCCTGTTAATGTAGACGAGAGAGTACTTTCGTCTCACCCGACTTATACCTGCCTGTCTACTTGTTGGTGTTCCCTTTTCTCTTCCCTGTGACTTTTTGCTCGCTCTTTCTCTCTCTCTCTCTCCCTCTCTCTCTCCCCCTCTCCCACAGTTTGAATGTCCCGAGTTGCAGCAAGGCTCAACCCAAGTGGGTGAAGTGTGGACATCCAATGGCCACACACATCCTTTCGGTACGAAACTTTCGGTACGAAAGTACCCTCGTCCTGTTCGGCTGTTCCCTACCACCACTCCATCTTCTTTGCTCTCACTCTGCTCTCACTCTGCTCTCATCCCGTCTGAAAGAGGGGTGGGCTCACCGGGCACCGTGCTGGCCCATGGTCCAAACCCAACAAGTACGCAGTTAGTAACTCTACGTACCTTTTTGTTTTGTCGTCTGGTCCGACGGCTGTCGGTCCAAGGCAGTCGGACCTGGACATGAGAGGCGTAGACAGTAGGAAAAGTGGTGGTAAATGGCCAAAGGAACGGCAGCGGCGCGAGGGAACGAGTGAGGAGCGGTTGCCGTTGCCGTGGACTGGACCGTAGAAGGCGGGAGTTGCAGAGCTTCTGGGAAAGCTAAACCATGAAGGGGGGGAGGAAGGACCAAACGATTTATAACCAGCTTCTCCCTCTCCCTCTCCCTCCTCGTCCCTCTTCGATTCCGCCATCGATACCTTGTTATTTCGACATTCCCGATCCCCTACATACCACATTTTTGTTGTTTAGCCTACGCGACAAGAGCTTCTCACAACCGGTGCCAATTAAGTCCCCAAGAAGCTCTGCAACTTGCTTCCTTGCCTTTACCCGTTACCCGTTCACCCCTTGCCGGATTCTATCATCCGTCTTCCCCGTGGCGGTGTTCCAATTCCAGCAAATCCCATAGGAGAATTCCCCATCTTTGCTGCTGAGGTGCTTCATCATGGCTATCACGCCTTCGAAGCCAATCTTCTGCGCGACCCACCCCAGGGCCTGCTCTACAGCCTTTGAGAGAGTGAGATTTCCCAATCCCATAACGCCTGTTGGCTTGTTTTTGGCACTGCTCGTTCTGTCCCCTCCCTCCTGGCGTCCCTAGTGTCTGGGACACGAGCGAGCACGCAATCCCGCCGGACCCCAAAAACGAACAAGGTTCAGGGTGCCTGAATCGTTCCTTTTGGGGGAAGAGAGAGAGGACCTGGCGGGAAGAGAGAGAGGGGAGGAACCTGTGGTGTTGAGCAACATTGCCACGGGTTCGTTATTGCTTGTGCAACGAAACCACCATCAGCTCGCTGCTGGGGTACTCCTGTACAGCGAGCGCATGTGAAGAAAAGCAGGAGTAGCTAACATGGCAATTTCCCATCGTTCTAGGTGTTTATGAGCCGCCGGGACAAGCTGGCGTGTGTACATGAGCCTTTTGGCGATGCGTTCTACTACGGCCCTGAGCGGACTGGTGAGCGATTTGAAAACGACGCCGAGGGCAGAGAGAAGTCTGGCTTCGCCGAGACAACGTATGCCGATGTCCTGAGGCAAATTGAGGAGGCCGGCAAAGATGTATGTTTTTCCCTTTCCCCTCCCAAAGACATCTCTGCCCCTCATTATGAGGTCGTTGTCTTTCCGATCGCAATCTCACCCGCACACCCCTCCACACTATTCCGCCCATCAAAGCCCCCCCCTACGATTACGCTACTCCCCCAACCCCTGGCAATTGAGTTGCATAGCTTCTGCGAACCCCCAGTCAAAACCACCGTTATTTCCAAACTTGCCATTCCACGTCCGAAAATGATTCAATTTTCGGTCGGAGGTGCTCTTCGAACCTTCAAACAGAGCTTCTCGAAACTCTGGATTGATTTCGATTGAAGCGGCGTTTGATGGCTGGGGGTCCTGGCGTGCACCCGGGGAAGCTCTGCAACGCTGCCGCTGCCGCTGCCGCTGCCGCTGCCGCTGCCGCAATGTCGCGCATCGCCGCTCAGCGTTCCCCGGTACCCTTGCGGAGCTCTTAGAGTCGCGACCGACGTCGCATTAGGCCTATTGCTCAACACCACCACCACAGACCATGATGATGCTATAATCCGATTACCCAGATAACTAACACCCAACCACAGAAGCGCGCCTTCATCAAGGACATGGCCTACTACATCCTGCCGCCCAACCAGCAAACCGCCTCCATCGCTCCGTCCGCCGGCAACGCAACCGAGCCCAGCAACCCCACCGTCCTCCCTCTGAGCATCCTCCGCAAGTTCCAGTGGACGTTCCTTATCCGCCACCCGCGCCGCTCCATCCCCTCGTACTACCGCTGCACCCAGCCGCCCCTGGATGCGGTGACTGGCTGGACAAACTTCAACCCGTCCGAGGCCGGCTACGAGGAGCTTCGCCGCCTCTTTGACTACCTCATCAGCGAGCGCGTCGTCGACGAAAAGGACTTGTTGGTCGTTGACGCCGATGACATGCTCGACGACCCCGAGGCCGTCATCCGCGCCTACTGCGCCCATGTTGGTCTCGACTTCTCCGATAACATGCTCAACTGGACCGACGAGGACACCAAGGTTGCCCAGGAAAAATTCGCAAAGTGGAACGGCTGGCACGATGATGCCATTGGCAGCACGTCGCTCAAGCCGCGCGACAAGAAGCATGTAAGTCGCCCCTAGCCCCCCTCTCAGCTGGTGCTTTTTGTTGTTTTGTACCCCTCCCAAAAATGAAAATTTCCCCAGAAAGAGATTGGATCTAAAAAGGACCTGCCTGTTGTTTGGGCGCTTTTGAAAACACTTCTTGAACTCGCTGGATATCTTTTTGCCTTTTGGCGTGGCGGACGAACACACTAGTACTAGTGTGGGGTATATTTCGCAGCATGCTAATTCCCCGCGAGAAAAAGGTTATCACCCGTGAGTCCGAAGAGGCTGAATGGCTCAAGAAGTACGGCGAGAAGGGTCTCAAGGAGATTCGCGAGTGCGTCGACGCCAACGTCAAGGATTACGAGTACCTCAAGAAATTTGCCATTCAGATCTAATGCCCTTCCGTGTACGGATACACACGTACGGGCATACAACGTACGGATACACAACGTACACCTTTAACGAAGTTGATGACCAAGAAACGCCCACTTACCAATAAGGGGGGGGTTTATATACATGCATGTTTTTACTATAAAAACGGGAAATCGGGTTTCTTTTTTGAACGAAACAGTTCGATATAGGGATATAGGGAAATTGAGGGGGTTTTCTATCAGGGACCTTGAAATCGGTACATCATGGGTTCAATGTAACCGTATTGATACAATAGTCTACATGGCAATGCCAATAACTAGCTACTTCTAACAGGGGTGCGTCTATGGCTGGCAACGTCTTTTCTTCCTGTGAACAAAAAAAATGTGCCATCGCACAATACTCCACGTCCATTTTTCTTGATGTACACATTTTCCGTCCGTATTGTGACAAGGCCCCGGACAAAAATCTTACACAACAGGATGCTTGCTCCCTACCCCTGGCCCCCTCTCCGCAAGACGTTCATGGTTTATGCCTTGGTGTCAGCCTTGGTGTCCTTGGTGTCCTCACCGTCCTTGCCCTCCTTGCCCTCCTTGTTCTCCTCCGACGCAGGCTCCTTGATACTGAAGTTGGTATCGTCCCCAGCTTGCTGCTCAGGCTCCTCAACCGCCTTGGGCTCCTCCACAACGACAGCCTCCTCCGGGTCAAACTGGTTCGCCTCCAAGAGCGCCTTGGCGCCCTGGAACAAGTCGTGCGTGACGTTACCGGTCCACTCCTGCGCAAAGTTGCGGTCGTCCTCGTTGGCCCAGTATATCGTCGCCGGCAGAAGCTGATCGACGGCCGGCGCCTTGGTGGTGCCGGCGCCGCCCTGTACCTCCTCTTCACCAGACGACGACTGGCCAGCGGCGACGAGTTGTGTCTTGGCCGGCGGCGCCTTGGACCACTTGCGGCCCGTCAGGGCCTCGCCGTCCTCGAGCACGGCCTTCTTCTCGCCCGCGCTGACGACGAGGCGGTTGCCGCGGCCGAAGCCGGCGAGGACGGCGGCCATGTCGGCGATGGAGTTTGCGCGCTGGTCGTTGAGGGCTAGGGAGCGCTCGTGGCGGTTGCGGACGATTTTGCGGACGCTGACGAGGTCCTCGGGGGTAGTAGTGGTCTTCGCACCGTCAGCAGGGGCGGAAGCGGCGTCTTTGTCTTCCTCACCCGCGACGGAGTATTTCACGTCGTCTACGGCGGCAGCATCGTTCTTCTTTTGCTTGACGCCCCACGGCTTGATGGGCTTTGGCTTGAGGAGCTCGGTGCGGTGCTCCCTGTAGAGGAGGTCGTCTTCCCAGGCGAGCTCGTGCATGCGGCGGAACTCGCGGAGCTTTTGGAAGACGGACTGGCCTGCTGCGCCGGCGCCGGCGGGGAGCTGGATGAGGGCCATTGGTTCCCAGTAGTCGCGGCGGAGTTTTGCGGGTTTGGACTTTTTGCCGTTGAAAGGGAGTTGTTTGAGGGCGCGGTGGGACTACAGGAGGTGAGGTGGTGATGTTAGCTGGGCTTTCGTCTTCCATAGTCCAAGGCAGGTGATTGAATCTGCCCATTGATGTGCCAATTGACATGCAACAAGGCCCTTCCTTCCAAAGAAACGTACCTCGAGCTGCTTCGTGTGCGAGTAGATGACCTGGTTCGAGGTCAGGTGGCTCCAGACCCAAATCTGCTCGCCGTGGCCCGGCTCAAAGTTGGTGAGCTCATGCTGGGGCGTCCTGCGTCGCGATCGCGTGTGGCCATGCCGTATGCTCGTCCGGGCGACGCCAAAGGACAGTTTTGAGAAGCGAAATACCGGGACCGAGTTCATCGTTGCTGTAGCTGGCGGCCGATCGGTCGGTCGATGGGGCGTATCGTTCGTTCGTTCGTCGTCGTCGTCGTCTTCGTCGGCAATCCCCCTAAACTTCTCGGGACGGGCAAGCTTGACAAAATTTCCCGAAGCTCTGGAACCTGTCCCCCAGGCCCGCGCCGGTGGTGTGGCTGATTTGTGGCTTGACTTCCAAGGTCACATGATTCTGATGTGTACCAGCCATATCGGACAAAACGTTCCCTGGCTACGTTATCGATAACTTTGATAAGACGATAGAAGACTGACGGCGGGTCCGTGCGCCCAAGTTGTGAACCCCGCGGTTTGGGCTCGGCCGGTGCTCAGATTCTAGTGACGTCGCGCGACTTCCACCAGGTTCTGGTCGCTGCCCTACGACTTCCCGGCCTTGCCAGCTCATGCTGGATCAGTCCATCCCCTTGGCCCACTTCCCGGTTTACAGTCTGGATGAACCTCATTCTGCAAGCATAAATTCAACACTGCAATCGAGTCTTCGACTGGTCCTTCTGCTCAAGTCACCAAGCTAATTCTTGCACATATTGAGATACCCAACGTTGAATGATAGACTCTTCAACTTGAAGCCATTCTGAGCTTCCCCCAACAACCACTCACAAACAACCACTCTTGATTACCTACCTCACCTTTTACGAAACAAAACCACACAACCACACACAATCGCTACCACATCTACACCACCAACATGAATTCACGAATGGAATTCACCGACAGAGGCGAGAAGGCCGTGCAGGATGCCATGGCCCTCGCGGAGCAGTACGCCCACTCCCAACTGCTCCCCGTCCACCTCGCCGTCTCCCTCCTCGACCCCCCAGCAGACCTGTCAAAGGATCAACAAAACGGTCCGCCGCAGACGTCCTCCATGTTCCGACAAGTCATTGAGCGCGCCCACGGCGACCCGCAACTCTTTGACAGGGCGCTCAAGAAGACGCTCGTCCGCCTGCCGAGCCAAGACCCGCCGCCGGACCAGGTCTCCGTCGCACCCACATTCCACGCCGTCCTCCGCAAGGCACAAGAGCTGCAAAAGACGCAAAAGGACTCCTTCATCGCCGTCGACCACCTCATCCAGGCCCTCGCCGAGGACCACACGATACAAGCCTGCCTGCGGGACTCCAACATCCCCAAGGCCAAGCTGGTGCACGATGCCGTCACCCAGATTCGCGGCACGAAGCGGGTGGACAGCAAGAACGCCGATACCGAGGAGGAGCACGAGAACCTCGCCAAATTTACCATTGATATGACGGCCCTGGCCCGCGAGAAGCAACAAGACCCGGTCATTGGCCGTGAGGAGGAGATTCGCAGAGTCGTGCGCATCTTGTCCCGCCGCACGAAGAACAACCCGGTCCTCATCGGTGAGCCCGGTGTCGGTAAGACTACCGTCGTCGAGGGTCTTGCCCAGAGAATCGTTAATCGTGATGTGCCCGACAACCTCAAGGCCTGCAAGCTGCTGTCGCTCGACGTTGGCGCCTTGGTGGCCGGAAGCAAGTACCGCGGAGAGTTCGAGGAGAGAATGAAGGGCGTCCTGAAGGAGATTTCGGAGTCCAAGGAGATGATTGTCCTCTTCGTCGACGAAATCCACTTGCTCATGGGCGCTGGCTCCTCTGGTGAGGGTGGCATGGACGCCGCCAACTTGCTGAAGCCCATGCTTGCCCGTGGTGGGCTGCACTGTATCGGTGCGACGACCCTTGCCGAGTACCGCAAGTACGTCGAGAAGGACGCCGCTTTCGAGCGTCGTTTCCAACAGGTTATCGTCAAGGAGCCTTCCATCGCCGAGACCATTTCCATCCTCCGTGGTCTCAAGGAGCGTTACGACAGACACCACCGCGTCACCATTCTCGATAACGCCCTGGTAGCGTCTGCCAACCTCGCCGGCCGCTACCTCACGTCGAGAAGACTTCCCGATTCCGCCATCGACCTGGTCGACGAGGCCGCTGCTGCAGTTCGCGTCGCCAGGGAGTCGCAACCCGAAATCATTGACTCTCTCGAGCGTAAACTCCGTCAAATCATGATTGAGATTGCTGCTCTGGAGAAGGAGAAGGATGAGGCGTCCCAGACTCGTCTGGTCCAGGCGAGAAAGGACGCTAAGAACGTCGAGGAGGAGTTGGAGCCTCTGCGCCAAAAGTACCTCAGCGAGATCAAGAGAGGTGAAGAGATTCACTTGGCCAAGACGAAGCTCGACGAGCTCGAGAAGCGTCTTGAGGATGCCGCCAACGCAGGCAACCACGCCAAGGCAGCCGACCTCCAGTACGGCGCCATCCCCGAGCAGCGTGCCGTCATCAAGGAGCTCGAGGCCAAGAAGGCCGCTGCCGACGCTGCCCTCAACGCATCAGGCCAGGACCACGGCGCCATGGTCACTGATGTTGTCACCGCCGATCACATCAACGAGATTGTGGCCCGCTGGACCGGCATTCCCGTCACCCGCCTTAAGACTAGCGAGAAGGAGAAGCTTGTCCTCATGGAGAAGCAGCTCGGCAAGATTGTCGTTGGTCAAAAGGAGGCTGTCCAGGCCGTCGCCAACGCCATCCGCCTGCAGCGGTCTGGTCTCAGCAACCCCAACCAGCCACCCAGCTTCCTGTTCTGCGGTCCGTCCGGTACAGGTAAGACGCTCCTCACCAAGGCGCTCGCCGAGTTTCTCTTCGACGACTCCAAGGCCATGATCCGCTTCGATATGTCCGAGTACCAGGAGCGCCATGCCCTCAGCAGAATGATTGGTGCTCCCCCAGGATACGTCGGACACGACGCCGGCGGCCAGCTCACCGAAGCTCTCCGCCGCAAGCCCTTCTCTATCCTCCTCTTCGACGAGGTTGAGAAGGCCGCCAAGGAGGTCTTGACCGTCCTCCTCCAGCTCATGGACGACGGCCGCATCACCGACGGCCAAGGCCGTGTCATTGACGCCAAGAACTGCATTGTCGTCATGACCTCCAACTTGGGCGCCGAGTACCTCACAAAGTCCACCAATCGCGAGGGCAAGGTCGATGCCACCACCCGCGAGCTCGTCATGAACGCCCTCCGCAACTGGTTCTTGCCCGAGTTCCTCAATCGTATCAACTCGACCGTCATCTTCAACCGCCTCACCCGCCGCGAGATCCGCAAGATTGTCGATATCCGCTTGCAGGAGATCCAGAAGCGGCTGGAGGGCAACGGCCGCAAGGTCTACATTGACGTCTCGGAGGAGGCCAAGGATTACCTCGGCAACGCAGGCTACTCGCCCGCCTACGGTGCTCGTCCTCTGTCCCGTTTGATTGAGAAGGAGGTTCTCAACAAACTGGCCATTCTCATCCTCCGCGGCAACATCCGCGATGGAGAGAACGCCCGCGTCGAGCTTATCAATGGCAAGATGGTGGTGCTGCCTAACCACCAGGACAGCGAGCTCGACACTGACGACGAGGACATGGATGAGGAGGATGCCGCTGACGAGCTTGTTGCCGATGAGATGGATGAGGATATTTACGACTGAAGCGAATAAGACAACAGAATGAAATTCAAAGACGAAGGAGATGATTCACGAAAGCATGATTGTTAGGACTGATTGGGGTGTTTTTCAGTGTAGAGATAGAAACTCTAGAGAGAGAGCATCAGGCGTTTAGGGATTAAAATGGTTCAAGCATTGTAGGATTCTTCTTTTTTACATGAGTTGTAAATAGGTTATAGAACTATAAAGGTTCAATGAACAAAACGTATGAAAACAATCGAGTATGCCCAGAGAGTGAGGATATTTAGTGATGTGAACAAAGTGATGGACGGCGGGAAACCGATTTAGGATGCAGTATAGATGGGCTTTGCCTTCAAATTTAAGATCAGTTGAGTTTGAAGATACTCGCGTCAACACACAACATCCAGGGAGAGGTTATTGTCGGAAGAGATGGGAGACTGGTCTGCAAGTGGTCTATAGAACCGGAAAAGTTCAAAGGGACATGTTACATATATTGATCTGGACAAACACAATACTCCAACGAGAAAAGAAGAAAGATGAGTCCTCATAGCGCCCGTCCGAGTTCCATTCGTAGAACCCGCAACAGCAAGCTGCCTCCTCTTTGTCACGGACGATCAGGACAAACTGGGCTGGGGTGGTTGAAACGTTCTCTTGGTCCAGAATTTGATGTATACGCTCACCAACATACAGCCTTACTCGACAACGAGTAGGCTATGAGTTTTGAGAACTAGTATAAGAACCGAGAGATGTAGCCTACCGGTGTCAACTTTTGTTTGCCAAAGTATTATGTCTGGTATTTGTGGTAACGTTGTTTTTAGTGTTCTGATGCTCGTGTATTAAGATAATTCAATGTTTCCCCGAATCCGAGGAATGCCTTGTGACGTGAAAGGAGTGAAGGATGACGGAGACGTGGATATTGGAAAGTAAGTTTAGAAATAGATGTCTTAGATATTCAAGCTTTACTCAGTGAAAGTTACTTGTGTAAGTAGGACTGTTATACGGGATTGATGGCCACAAGATATGAGAGACTGTTTTCGGGGCACGAGGGGAAAGAAGACGTCTACACCGTTGAAAGTCAAGACACATTCGTTAGTTGGGTATAATTGATGCAAGAGCGCCTGGTATGGAAGTCAGGCATGTTGAACAAGTCTTGGCTAGGCGGAGGCATCAAAGGTCTCTATCGTGAGATATCCCCCTCAAAAACATACATTCTGCACCGCGGAGATGCTGGCAAACTAGCTGAAGACTTGACCTTCACTCCCCCACGAGAATGCCGAGGGAAATCCTGGTGTTCCAGGTCGTGGAAACAACACTTTTCACCGTTGGCGAGTCCCTACCTTACCCATGAGGCGGGGGCTACCTCCATGGCTGGCGAAGCAATGTGTGCCGAGCGTCGTGTAGCAGTACCCAGCATGCCAAGCGATCACGATATCTTCTGGTTTGTTCTGCCCATCACACCTCACATGCAGTGTTCGTGACAGACGCATGCTTAGGAAAACCCGTAGCTATTTCCAGCGGGGTGTCGGGGACGGCTTGCTCGATATCAAGAAGACCTACCAAGGTCATGATCACGCCCTCGTAGATATCCACGCGAAGTAGCTATTCAGAGCGCCAACGTTGTTTCGATAATCTGGGCGTACCGATATTCTGGGAATGATCCAGGTCTCCGGGCTGGTCGATATATCACCCTACCTCGGGGTAGTGTTTCAACCCCCCCTCATCGCATCAACTCGATTTTTGTTCTGCTGATCAGCGAGCGCATGCCCCTCTTCCTGCTCCAAGGCCTCGCATTGTCGCATGGAAATCATGCCCTTGTTTGGTTTAGTTTTCTCATGGCTGGGACGGAGAACCATTCTGCCCACTCAACGCCATGCATACGCGGTACAACGGTTTTCGTGGCCTTGGATTTTCTTCATGACTGGAGCCTTTTCGCGAGATCTGCGAAACTAGTCGCGGGGGAGGGATGACGGATGAGGTCGGGGCCAAGATAGGATGCTATTTTTACCCGAGAGGACCCCGGTGATCGCCCTGGTCGGAGAAGGGGGGACCCACGACGGGGAAGTTTAGCCTCCGTTGTGCCCCCCTCCCCTCTCTGAGCCTCACGAAAGCAAGCCCGGGGGCCAGGACATGACTGTGGCGGGCCCCCTCCCCGAACCTGGGACCGTGGTGCATGAGCTGATGGATTAATCAGCCAAGTACCGAAGCCACCGCGCCTTTTTGTCTCGTTGCACAGTGGGCCAGGATGAGCTCGGGGCCGAGACTGGTCCCCGTGGTCGTGAAGAGAAAGAGGGCCGCAACGGCGGTGCGGGCAACGAGCTGCGAGTGACGGCCGACCGATCATGCCGTAGGCGGTAATGCATTGAGGCTGCGCGGCGGAACGCGTCACTCGCACAACGGACGTGGCGGAAGAGGGCTCTGGCGCCAGTTTCGGCGGAGGCCGCGGAGTAAGTTGAGGCTGGAAACTTGGAAAGGTCCGTGTCGTGTTGCACATGTATAGGTAATGTAGGTAGGGCACTTCATCCTGAATCTGGGACGAGAGAGAGAGGGGGGGGGACGATATCCGATGTTCGCTGAGTAGAGGCCACAGAGCGTACATGAACGAGAAGAAGGGCCTCCTTGTCCACTCGAACCAGAGGCGGGAAGTCTCGACACAGGACTGGGTGGGGGCCAACACAGAAAAGTGCGAGTGAAACGGGCTGGTGCAGATGGATGCAGATGGAGGACGGGAACACTCTCATCGGCCAGCTCAAAGGGGCAGAGGCTGGTGTGTGTAGGTAGGTATTCGTATGTTGGTTGATGACCGATCCGAGTCAAGAGCTGCGATGGCAGCTGTCTCTCACCAAATCAAGAGGTCTGGATGTGGACGGGACGGAAGGACGGAAGGAAGCTTGGCCAAGGGCCCCCAAAGGATTTGTCTTGGGATGGAAGACAAGCCATCGTTCAACCCTTGAACGTTTGATAAAGGTTGATTCAGTGCGTAGCAGCGCAGCATGCGCAGATTGTGAGTTGTTGTTTTTTTTGCTCTTTTCTTTTTTCCGACACGAGGCCTTGCCAGCATCCAAGTCGCGCGTCTGGAGCGTCTTTTCCCAAAGCAGAGGATCAGCTCGTCTCCTGGCCTAATCGGGCGAGCTTGCGGGCGGCTGCCGGCCCAGGAGCCGGAGACAAATACCGGGCCATATTAAGACACTGCATACCAGATCTGTTGAGGTCTGTACGAATATCCGTAGAGACCGTCAAAGTGCCCACGATATCTGTCCGTAATCGTGTTGATAGCCGCCATTCGAACATCCAACAGCAATGAGTACCTATGCTATGCCCCGTAGCCCACAGCGAAATACGAGTGAATGCATTGGAAGGGGGTTGCGTTGTAACGGGAGCCGTTGGCGGCAGATCGTGGCGTGGGGCGTGTGCATGGTCGTCCGTAGGTAGCGAGCGTTGCAAGGGTAAGCAAGACTAAAGCCATGTTTCAGAATTTTCAGCAGATCCTCTGACAAGCGTCGTCCGAGGTTGTCATTGGAGGAGGGCCAGGGGGCGGCGAGCTGGAGCATAAATGACCAGCATCTCCATCACGCCTTTGCAGTGTTGCACCTGGCCGGCCCTGGGTGAATGAAGCTGGGCCTTGGCCGTCGATGTCAATGGCCCCATTGGGTAACACGTCGCAAGCTTTGCTGTCTGTCTGTCTGTTTGTGGCCCCCCTTTTATTTGGTGAGTGAAAGTATCTTTTGCTGCACCGATGATTCGACAAAGTACCGTGGGCAAGGTGTAGAAGGGGCCGTGTTTGAGCCAGGTCGCGATGTGGTGTTGTAGTCTTGAACGCAGACAGTACGTCAACTTGATGCTCAAGATAAACCGTCAAGGCAGGTTGGAAACCGAGGTAGAGAATCATCGACGTTCTGTGCTTCGTCGTATTCGTAGACGGCCATGAACTTCAATTGAAGGTATCCAAAGCTGTGGTTCGCGATGGCGGAGGGCAACCCCTGAACGAACCTGGGAGGACACAGCCGCTTGGACTGGCTTGATGGACGGCGCGCCTTAGACGTAAGCCGGGGTTATTGGTGGCTTGTGTCAATTTAACCGCGACAGCAAGTCAAGCAGTCTGTCAGTTGCTGCACAGGCAATTGCCAATCACGGGCAAAGTCTCGGTTGAAGATGTTGGGCGATGGCGTCCGAGGTTGAGCATCGTTGATTGAATTTCGTCATAGTGATTCGGCAATAAAGTGCTCTTTTCTTTGCGGGACAGTATCAAGATGCGAACTCGATATTGACACAGCCTGCGACTAAAGCGCGGGCAATTGAGTTGCCACGGGCTCTCGCTGTCCCCGCAATCCCTCGTCTTGGAGGCTTGTTGAAGCCGCAGTTTCCGAAAGAGTCGACGGACTGACACGGCCGGCCTAGACACCAAGATGTCGCGGCTATACGACTTGGGCTCGTCTGGAGAGGGCAACTGGCTTGGTGAACGGCAAGGTTCTGCAGCGCACTGCAACTCTGAGCCCTCAAGGGAACATCGGGAGCTGGACATGTTCCTCCGAGGGGGATAGTGCAGCGTGGGCATGGTGCCTTGCCAGTGCAGCGCGGGTGGTTCGCGGTTGTGAATCGGATCGAGACTGTCAAGTCAGTTGGGCCCCCAACTGCAGTTGACGACAGGCTAGATCCCTCTACTCAAATCGGTGGGGAGCCAGTCGGCTACTCAACTTGGGTGGAAGATGAGGCGAAGTTGTGTGAGTGCTGGATGGGGATTTTGCGCCAGCATGTAGTATGCACATTGGAAGGGTCAGCATCCTGGCGGGCGTGGAGGGATGACACATCTAGTGACAGTCTGAAGGCTCTATTGACGGTGGTCCCATTGCTTTGGATAAGGGGTACGGTACGGTGACACGGTCAGGGAGATGGAATGGGCGTGTTGTGGATGGAGGGAGTGAGTATCGATGGAAGTCCCTGGCAGAGAGGTCGGTTCCATGGGTAGTATCGCATCGCCGGCCGCATCTCTTGCAGCTGAGGTGCTCAGTCCAGCTCGGAAGGGACGATATTGGTACGTGGAATAAGAGCCGGGATTCTCTTTTCTCCTGGCCGTAAGGCTGCCGGGCACGGCGTCGACGAGAAGCTCCTCCAAGTTGCCTAGGTTCTGTGCGATGCTTGAGATGGCAGTCCATGCCAACAATATTGCGCGAAGAGTGAAAGCGTGTATCCGTCCACGTAACCACCCGAGGGGCGGACTGGGTGTAGTGGTGTAATAGGATCCCTGCATCGATTCTATCCGTAAGGCAAGGTAAGGAAGGTACAGTGAAGTGGTTAGTTGTATGTGGTCGTGGACTATTTGAAACGTTGTTGCGCCGTTTAGATTTGCCCCAAGTCGTCTAGCGGCATCATCGGAGTGCAAGCTCTCGGCATTCGACTTGCAACTGCCAACCTGGCACTTGAGTCTCGAAGCGGAGGGTACGAAGTACGGACCTGACGGGAACGGCGGACGCGGCGCACTTGAGAGCCTTAGGTCTTGCCTGCTGGTGTACGAAGTAATGGGTTATGGATGGTGCTTGCTTGCCGCCTTCCATTCCATGTCGAACATTCCACGGGCACGGGGATGGGAAGGTGCAAAAGTTGGAAAAATATGGAGAGCAAGTGTGGATAGGTGAGGGAAGGTCTCCACTGCAGACCGCTACGAGTGTCAAATCGTTGTCCCCTCGTCCCTTCCTCCCTGGTATGTCCCGGTCTCCACTTTAGCCTAGGTCTGCCCGGGTGAGGAAGGAGTAAGGAACATGGAAAGGGAAGGGAAGGAGAGGGGGGGCAAGGCCGGGGAGAGAAGGGGGAAGGCATGAGGTACGGATGGATACCTTGAAAAGAGAAAAAAGGGAAGGAGTAGACGACAAGCGAGAACCGATGCCTTCCCCAAAACTTGATGGACTGTTAGCTACCTTATCCGTTCGTACGGTTACTCTTTTGGTTGTTCGTTGGAATCTGCACAAGGAGCAAATATGATATTGGATACCAACTAGTGACAACTACCTAGACAAGTCTGTAAGGCACTCTCTCCCTTACCTTAGTGCCTTGTGCCTCGGGTTAGAACTTGGGCCATGACAAGACTGGGGCTCCTTCACCCCTAAAAGACCACACTAAGGCCGATCGACTGCCGTTTCACACTGACCTCAACCCTCCGCTTGGCCCCGTTGTGGGCGCTGCATCGTGTCAGCCAGTCCCCTGTCTCGCTCTGAGCTGTCTGCCCTGGTCTAAACTGCCCTAAGTTTGGAGAAAGCGCCAGAAGCCTGAAGGTGACGGCTGGCGGGCGGGAGATGTGAGGTCCAAGGAAAAGCAGCCGGTACGGAGTACGGAGTACTGACGTGTGACTGAGGTTCTCCCCATGAAGCCGTGTACCTTTCCCCACTTGGAAACCTGATGCTGACCACCAATCCCCTGGACCACCTCAGTCTGTCTACCTTACCTTACCTTACCTACCTTACTCCGTACCTTTCTTTTACCAAGGTATTATCCGTGGATCCAAAGGTTTTCACACACACTCGGCATGGCATGCGTGTGGTGCTAGTAATGTGTAAAGTGACGATGGCGGCGACGGTGGCCCTGCCGGGCAGTGGTTTACATCAGGCACGCCGTACCTTGCCTTGCTGCGCTTCGCCTTGCTGGCCCATCTACCTCACACTCCACGTTGGCTGATGTTATGTATCCTCTTCATGCCTGAGGTCTGAAGTCAGGGTCGGCGATAGAGCTGCGGCATCTGGTATTGTTCAGTGGGGAGTGGAGGAGGAGAGATGGATAGGTAGTAAGGCACCTCACCTTACTGTGTAGGTATGATGTATCCTGTCGGGTACGAAGTATGGTAAACTGTGTAAATGTGTACATCGTACCTTTCAGAGGTACCTACCGCGAGTCACTTGTCTGTTAGAGAAAGAAGACGCCTTGGTCCAAGTACCACCTCCTCCGAGGCAAGCAGCCAGAGGTACCCGTCCCCTGCCTCGCCGTCCCTCCTTACCCCCCTAACAAAGTGTCCTGACTGGCCAGACATCTAAACTCCCGTCTCCTAATCCTGTCCTGTCCTGCATCTGCTCTGCACTTGCGTTGCTTGCGTTGCGTTGCTTGCACCCGCACACACCAAAAAAGACTCCAGATCAAAGGCCAGCCGCCAAAGGGTCCCTTTCACCACCAAGCCTCAACTCACATATCCTCCTACCTCTCCTCCGCTCCGTCTTCTTTTTTCCCCCCCCTCTCCCACTCCCACTCCCACACTCCCCCATCTTCAACCACACCCCCAAACCCCCTATCCCTTTCTCCAGGCCTCATCGTCCCTATACTAATGAAGCCTGTATACTGAGACCGTTTAACTTTTGTTTCTTTCCTCTCTCTTTTCCCGTCTTGCTCAAAAAGATCATCTGGAGGAAAGGACAACGAGCTGGTTTTTGCCCACCCACACACGCACGTTTCGATCGTCTTAGGTTGCTTGTGTTGAGACCACCGACAGACACTGGGACCTGTGGAATCTGAATCCGAGAGACTGGCCAGACCAAAAGGACGCAACGCTACGCAGTCCGCATCCGCATCGCGCATCGCAGCACCACCAGCAACCGGCGGCACCAAGCACCCACATTGACCCAAGCCCACCGCTAAAAGCTACGCGACCACAAAACGGCCACCCGAGTGCCTGGCAGGAGAAATCTTTCCATCACCCCCAGAGCCCGATTTTCGTCTTCGTCCACGTCCACGTCTAAAGCCCACTTGTCCCCCCCGACATTCCTTGACCTCACTCCCCCCGACCGACGTCGAACTCTCCTTTTATTTTCTCGAGCACCCAGCAGCCCTTTTGCAACCGACTGGCTGGCCTGGCGTACCTTGTAATACCTGGAAACACGCACAAACACGACTTTCAACTCTTTCGACCCTTCGACGAACATTCCTTACCGCACAAAGGCCCCAACGACCACTACATTCTTCTTTCGCGCGCCTCTGCTCTACGCCTGCCATTGTTGCTCTGCCCACCGAAATTGGACAGTCCGACACCAGCAGCAGCTCCGGACAATCCGCACAATACTCGTCCGGAAGAGACGCTGGGAACTGACGCAGCACCGTGCCGTCACCCTCCCTCGAAACCCCCGACTGTGGAATACGAGACGTTGCGGTCTCGAAGCTGTCCACAATTCATTGGGTCCATTTCTCCCCCGCGCCTGTCAACCGTCGACCGGGAGAGCATTGCTCAATTTGTCAACGACAGCAACCCCTTGGGAAAATTCTAGTGTCACGAAATTTCTGATGAGGTTTGGCCTAGATAATTGATAATGTCAACTAGATCCGATCACCTGGCCATTGGTTACCCGCCCCAATCTGCCACACAGAACCGGTCCACTTCACCAACCGCCAACAACACATCTCCCATTGACCCGACCGCTGGCTCATCTGTCAGATCACCATTCGGCCTGCCAGGCGGTTTGAACCACTCCAGCAAGATGGCTAGCGCCTCGCGATCAGGGGCTGGCTCTCCATCGCACGAGATGCCCGGCTCCAGCAGGCTGTACTCCAAGAGGTTCGTTCACTCTGCTACCCTGCGATTGACTGACCGTTCTTTGCTGACCCAACTCCGACAGAGCCCGCGAGATTCAAGCTCAAGAAGGCGTCCCCGGATTGCCGGTAAATCCCTGGGGCGGTCCGCCGACCAGTGGCAACTCTACGCCCCTCCGCGAGAATATCCCCGAGTCGCCAACCGATGGCTTTCCTGACTTTGCTCAACTTCCCACTCCCGATTCTATGCCTCAGGCGAGACGTGCCCGTGCTGGAACCGTGCCATCGCGGTTTTCGCCCGGTGGTGTAGGCAATGGCCTGCTCAACCTTCCGGCCATGGCCCCCAAGTCATCCCGGCCAACCCCGTCCCACAGCCCGTTTAAATCTCCTTCTCCCGGTCTCGAGCCGGTTGACACGGCTTCCAACAACTCTGCTCTGCTCTCCCGTCTCCGCGCAGGATCAATGCCTCAGCGGAGCCCTTTCGCCCAGATTCCAGGCACCAGCTCGCCCTTTGGTCCATCCATTTTCAGCAGTTGGAACCCTACCGGGACCGGCCGCGATAGGGGTATGACTCTTGCGAGCATTGCAAGTATCGGCTCGACCAACGGGCCGAGCTCGCCTACGCAGTCCCAGATTTCCAGAGAGGGTGGTGGAGAAAGCGATGTTCATATGAGAACGCTGGACTACTTGGGACTTGCTGAGACGCCGCAGCCACCCCGCGCCCAGTTGGCAACACCGTACATTCCGAGCTTCAACGACTTTACTAAGGCTAATCGTTTCCGCTCGTACTCGGTCAACAACAAGGACAAGTATGCTGACGAGGAGGATGATGAGTTTGAGGACATGACCCTCGAGAGTCAGTACGTCGCTCATCTTCAGGATCAACTCGCAGCCACGAACGCCGCGATCCACAACCACAATTTGGCCGTCCAGGCGTTTGCCAACCAAGCCACGCGCCCTCGCGCCCGAACTGCCGGCGTCCTCGATACCCCTGGCTCTCGCCTCATGCGGACCTACATGTCCGGTAACGGCATGGGTAATGCCGTCCCTCCCGCAGAGATCCGTCTGCCGGACGAGAAGGAGTTTGACGACCTCCCGCAAGCTGTGGCTGCTATGAACCTGGGAAGGTCAAGCAGCCGCAACGCGGGACTGCTCAACGCTGAGGATCAGGGTCTCGAGGGCCCTACCAGCGCCCTCTGGCTCGGTAGCATCCCGACTTCCACTACCACATCGACTTTGACAGAGATGTTCAAGCAATACGGTCCCATTCTGTCTGCTCGTGTTCTCACGCACAAGAACTGCGGTTTTGTGAACTTCGAGCGGATGGAGAGCGCCATTACCGCGAAGGCCAGCATGAATGGAAAAGAGATCTTCCCTGGAGCGGGACCCATTCGCATCAACTTTGCCAAGCCGCCTTCTGCCTCGAACACGCCCGGCCATGATGGCGTTTTCCCCTCGCCCAGCCCCGACCCGTTCGCGAAGAACCAGGACAATGTGCAAAATGCTACCCCGGGTGCTACCGGCGAGAACGCAAACGCGTCGGCCCAGTCGGCTAACGCTGCTCCCGTTGTGCCTCCTCTGTCAGAAATGACGAGCGATATCATGCGCATCGTGAAGCAGTTCCAGGCCACCGAGGAGGATGCTGCCAAGATCTTCCGCAGCCTCCAGTCATCGATTTCGTTCACCAACTTCATCGACGAGATCCCCCCCATCCGGGAACCGGCCCACACGCGGGTCCACGACGCCCCGAGACTCAGAGACATTAGAAAGAGGATCGATAACCAGAGTCTGTCTCAGGCTGAGATCGAGACAACCGCTCTCGACATGCTGCCAGAAATTGCTGAGCTGGCGTCCGACTACCTTGGCAACACTGTTGTACAGAAGCTCTTTGAGCACTGCTCCGACGACCTTCGGGACGCCATGCTGGCCGAGATCGCTCCTCACATGGCGGAAATTGGCGTGCACAAGAACGGCACCTGGGCTGCCCAGAAGATTATCGACGTTTGCAAGACCCCGCATCAAATGAATTTGATCGTCGAGCACCTCAGACCTTACACCATTCCTCTTTTCCTGGACCAGTACGGCAACTACGTTCTTCAAGGCTGCCTTAAGTTCGGTGCTCCTTTCAATGATTTCATCTTCGAGACTATGCTCAGCCGCATGTGGGAGGTTTCTCAGGGCCGATACGGTGCCCGAGCTATGCGCGCTTGCTTGGAGAGCCACCACTCCACCAAGGAGCAGCAGCGGATGCTGGCTGCCACGATCGCTTTGCACAGCGTCCAGCTCGCCACCAACGCCAACGGCGCCCTCCTGTTGACCTGGTTCTTGGATACCTGCACTTTCCCTCAGCGCAGGACTGTGCTATCACCCCAGCTTGTGCCTTGCCTCGTACATCTGTGCACTCACAAGGTCGCCTACCTCACCGTGCTCAAGGTTATTAACCAAAAGGCCGAGCCTGAGGCGCGAGACACCATTCTCAAGGCTTTGTTCTTCACCCCTAACGACCAAATTCTCGAGGCGATCCTGAGCGACCATGCCTGCGGCGCCACCTTGATCTTCAAGGTTCTCACCACGCCGTTCTTTGACGAGAGCATTCGCAGCCAGGTGGTTGAGAACGTCAAGAACGTGTTGGTTCGCATCAAGGCCCAGCCTGGCCAAGGTTACAAGCGTTTGATGGACGAGGTTGGCCTGTCGACTCGCAACAGTGGTGGTGGCCGCGATCACGGCCATGGCAACAATAGCAACTCTGGCAACAACAACAATGAGCAGCGGCAGCGACCGGCCTCCCGCCAGGCCAACATGAACAACCACCAGCAGCAGCAGGCCTCTCACATGAGCAAGCAGCAGTACTATAACACGTTGAGCCAGCCCGTCAACCCTTCCAACTACGAGTTGGGATTCGGCGGTCAACGTAGTGAGCCTGCCGACGCGAGCATGGCTCCCTTCCCTCCCTATGGTGTTCAGAACCCGATGTACAACCAGTCCAACTCTTCCATGCCGACGCCTGCGAATCTGCAGCAGCTCCAGTACCAGCAGAACATGCTCAACCGTGCCACGCCCCCCATCAACAACTTCTTCCCACCGATGCAGGCAGGCTTCGGAGGGTACAGCAGCCCGAGCCCGTCTATTGACCAGTACCGCAGCCAGAACTTGGCCAACGGAAGCCCCATTCAGCCGCCGACTCAGCTGCCTCAGATGCCTCCCGGCCAGGCACCGTACGCACCTCCTGGATTTGGTATGAACATGGGCATGTCGGGCTATGGTGGCTACGGCAATATGGGTGGTATGCAGAACATGGCGTACATGCAGCAGGAGCAAGTTAACGGAAGACGTGGCCGAGTAAGCGATCCCCCATTCGCATCCCCTCTTCACCAAGCCAGAACGCGACGTGACTGACGAGTTGAAAAGCGATGATTCAAACGCCACTTGTACAGACGAATTGCTGGTCAGAGAGGGTCTGACTGGCTCATGCCACTCTTTTTTCGCTTGGTAAGGGATGGCTTGGTATGGGATCGGCACAGGAGTTTGGTGGATCTGGATCGTCATGTAAGAATGTTTGCAAGGGGGTACACGCCGCCCAACGTGTCAGGAAAATGCGCAAGCCACTCCAGATGTGGAGGAGGCCATGTCTCGATGATAGACAGGGCAACAACATGAAGCTGCCCCTCCGGAAATGTGGTCGCAGCAACGAAGAGGGTTTTTTATTTTCGTTTCACCTTTGGGCTCCAGAAGCCCCCCATTTGCCACTTCACTCTTCCTGTTCTTTCTTTTCTTTCACTGGGAAGTTTTTTTTTTTTTTTTTACAAGCTTTACTATTGCTACCCTCACTTTGCTTGTGGCGTGGTATATAGAAAAACCGAGAGAGGGTAGCCGGATGTTGTCCTGAAGCCCACCTTCGCATGGCAGTCAAGACGCAAACCCCCCAAAAAATCGCATTTGTCGCTGTTTGTTATGAGAGAGCTATGGAGTCGCAGTCAAAGCATTCGTGTGTGTGTGTGTGTGTGTGTCAGGGGAATTTCTCATGATTGCTGACCCGCCGGGGTTCGTTTGCTTAGCAGTCAGTCAAGAACACTTTTGTAGCCACGCAAACTTTTTACTATGGGCTGCTGGGTTTTCTTCCTCTTTTTCTTTTTCTTTTTTAGTGTTTTTTTCTTCATACTAGATAGCATGAGTATAAGGTATTGTTAGTCAAGCATTGTCGTAAAAGCTAGTTGTTATTGCCTCGAAGTTTTCTTGGGTCCTACTGTTTCGTTCGAGAGGGACACTTGTGATTGTGATGCCGAGTAACAAACCTATACTGAAGCCATGTTTCTTCCTGTCACTTCCTGTCAAATGTTTGAAAACATTTTATGATGTCTCCTTTTTCCCCGAGTATGGTCTGTTGAGTTTGCAGTCTCGGTGATGCACGTTGACCACCTGCTCCATCGATGTGCGTGTGAGAGAGGCAACTAACTGATTGATTAATCTTTGAGGCGATTGGGGGGGGGTCGGGCTCCTCCTGTCTATCAGGATCAGGCTCTTACTAGGGGAGATGTTCAAATAGGGCATAATTGTTAGTAAGCTTGAGGTTTTTTCTCAATCAAAGCGGTGGAGGGAACAGCAATGGTAGGTACATAGATCATGCGGTATAGCATTCTATCTACTGGCCTCATCAGGCCATCTCTCTCTGTCTCCGGTTCTGCTCTCGTTTCCCTCTCCCTCCCTCAACCTGGCGCGGACCCAAGGTACAGGTCAATTCGAAACCAGTTTCCCAAATTGGATTTCTCGCTCTTTGCCTCCCTGAAAAAAAAGAAGTGTTCTGTTCCCCCTGGTCCACTAGCCAGCCAACCCCTGCCTGCTGGTCCAAAAGAGAGAAAATTACGAGAAGAGGTAATGGCCTATGATACAAGATTGAGGCAGGGTTGGGGGGGAAGTCCAGGGAAGGGAAAAGAAAAATGGAGAGAGAAGTGAATAGGAAAGCGAAGACAAGGAAGTTGGCCTTCACACAATTCCCTTCCCCAAGGTGACACACCATGGGCGGATAACCAGATGCCCGTCTCCTCTCGCTGTAAGCACACTCTGCGTGCTTTCTCTCATCCGGTTTGCACTCTCCATGGCCGCAAAGCTGCGACTATGCGAGCTTGCTTTGTCGGTCCACTCGAAGCCTGTGTGGCTTTCTGTTGTACCTGTCTCAGTACTGGTCGATTCTCTCTATGACCGGCCTCCTTTGCCGGTCTTTCTTTGCATTTGCTCGCTGCTTTGTTTTGATCCATCCCAAACTCCAGATCCGTGTGGGGGTCGTGTCTTGGGGAATCAAATAAGAAAAGAGTAGGAAATGGGCTATACCCGTAATTGGTGGTGTTGGTTGCTGATCTCCTAGTCCTGGGACGAGGCGAACCGTATACTTCCAATTAGCGTCCCGACACTACCCTTGTGTGGTGTGTTCGGTAAGATAAGAATAATCAGTTAAACATATAGTTGAAGTCGCTGTCAACGCTAGCCTAGTCGATATCCATGTCGGCCACATCTTCTTCGTTCGCGTCGTTGGGGACCTCCTGCGAAGACTTCTCGCCTAGGCTTTGAATCGGCTCTAGATTGTCTTGGGTCGTTGTCGCTGGCGTGGGAAGGTCGGCTGGTGGCTCGACGGACTCGTTCTTAATCGAAGTTGAGTTGTCCCCGGTGCTATCAGTGCCGTTGGCATGGTTACAGTCGATCGCCGTTTGATCGGCCTCGATGTCCATACCAGAAACACCGCTGTCTTTTTGGTCGTCTCCAAGCAAGCCTCTGATGCGGCCAGTCATGGCCTCCAACTGAGCCAACATGGCGCGGAGACTCTGCTTGTCAGTAACATTCAGATCTCCGCTGGCAAAGTTGTTAACGCTGCCACGAGCCATGAGCGAGAGCATAGCTGGCTCGGCGTTCGTCTGTATGAAGGTGTCAGTCACAGGTGCTTGTAATTCCATCCGATTCTTGACTTACCAGCAATGCCTCTGTCAGCTCGTCAAGCTTGGTGGTCGGCTGAGTGGAAGCCAGTTCGACCAAGTTGAGCACTGCTTGCTGCTCAACACGTGAACGAGCGCTCATTGGCTCGCTGATTGGTGGCGCCTGGGTTGTGTTTGAAGCCAGTGAGCCATTGATGTGGCCTGCGCCATCCTTCCGAAGCCTGCAGATCTGTTAGAATTTCCAAGTACCCAAGCAACGATCCAAGAGAACTGACTGAGAAATGAAGTCCAGGACAACACCCTTGGAGGATAGTTTATAGACGCGACCAAAGGTCTTGACGTCGCTCCAACCCGAATTTTCATCCTCGGATTCTTCGTCATCGTCGTCAATTTCAATGAAGCCATTGTTCTTCATGCCGCGACTGAAAGCAGGGATGATGACCGGGGCGCCTTTGATCTTCCGGAAGCGGTGAGCTGGGGCAAGCTCCTCTGGCAACGTAGCCAACAGGTCGTCTGCATGCGCCGGGCAACGCCATGTTCGCACCACAGGCGGGATTGCCAGGGGAGGATCGAGACAATCCAGGTGCCAGTGAAGCCCGCAGAGGCTGCAGGGAACGATGGCTCGATTATCGGCGGTCGGGTGTTGACAATTGTGGCATAAAACAGCAGATCCGTCAGCTTCCCGAACCTTGAAGAAGTCCGGAGCTTCTTCGTAGCCTTTCTTCCTATTGTGGCTGTCAGTCGGAGCGATTCCCAGGGAGAAACGAGATGAGATGGTTGGAAGATGGCGAGATGTTGAGAACAGGAATTGTCACTTACTTTGGCTTAGCGGGCACGACCACATCCTCGTACTCGCCCTCAGGACCGACCTTGACGCCCTCAAAATACACACGCACGCCTTGTGGCAGCTTGTAGGCTCGAGGATTAGTCTTCTCCAGAGTGTTCATCAAACCGCCAAAGGGACCCTTGTGTTCGGGCACCCTAGTGGGGTATCTACTGCTGAAACAGACGTTGCAAAACCATTCCTCGGGAAGAGTGTCGCCCAGGCCAAGGTCAACGCACTCGAAATGGAACGACCTGGAGCAGTTCTCGCAGCAGACCAGCTCTCCAACGCCGCTGCATGCTGAGCAGTAGTCGTCATTCTCATCCTGATGAGATGTGTCAGCAACGTGGTCGTTGAGGCAATTTACGGGAAATGAGTAGGAGTGTGGGTGCAGGCTGGCCGGTAAAAATGGGAGGTCGGGACTGGCCGCTAAACTCAGTATCCCTCGGGATGTGCGCCTTGGCCCCCGAAAAACCATGCCCTCACTATTCGCCGACTCTCGCCCGACCCCATCATCTCCTTGCTCCCCGTACGCAGCAATAAGGGCGCGGCATCAGTCAAAATGACCGCAGCTCCGTGCTGTTGAAGGATTCATTGCTGGACTGGTAGCTTACCTGGTTGATTGGACCACCGCCGTTGGCGGTAACTGCACCGCCCTCGCCGCTGGCACGAGGTAGTCCAGCCGCAGTACCTCCCTTCTTCTTCACGGGCCTGTGATAATGCGTCAGTCTATGTCCAGCTTGATTTTGCGAACCACCATGGATGAAATTTCATGGACGGATGATGGCAGAGGCGAGGATGCTGCGGTGCGACGCTGCCAGGCTCGCGCCACTCATCACTGGCACCCTCGTCTCATCATGTCAAGCCATCCGCTTTGGCACAGCAAAGCCCAAATTTCATGATGCAAAGAGTAAAAAGGCAACTTACGAAGTCTTGATACGCAAACCAGTCCGTTGTTTCTTCGTAGGACGAAGATTCGTCGGGGTCGCGGCCCTGGAGCTCGTGGCGGGCGTCACCTCTCCGAGGATTGACGGCGCAGTCGGCGAGCTCGTGTTGTCGATCTCGTCGTGTGTCCTCTTTGCTGATCTCGTCGTTCTCGTGCTCAGAGTCAGATTTGCAAGCAGATTTGAGCTCGGCGCTGGTGTCCTTGCCGACTTGCGCAAATTTACTGCTGGCGAAGATGCGGCCATAGATCCAGCCCTGCTTCTCATGTCGGAACCGCGAATATGGCTCTCAGGCTGGGGCGTCTGGCTGACCGTGCTATCGCGTGCATCTCTCCTGCGTAGGGTGGTAGCATCGTCGCTGGGCAGCACACGAGGGGTCTTGTCCTTGTTGGCGTTCTTCTTGCCATTCGCCTTTGAGGGTGCTGTTGTCGTCGAAAGATTGGGGAAAATGGGTGAAGAAAGTCGACCAGGCATGTTGCTAGCCCCTGCAGCTTGAGATACGTTTGGGGGGAGGGTGGGTGAGTTTGGGTTGGATGCGTCAGACACGCTCGTCTTAGCAGCAAGGGATCTGCCGCGTCTCTTCATTGGCTGGGGATCGGCTGGCGGTGGTGCGCTGGTCAAGGTGGTCTCGGGGTCGGCCCCAGCAGCCGTGACAGCCGTCGTGGCACTGTGACGGCGACTGTGGCGGTCGCCTTGGACAGCCGCGGAAACGGGCGGAGAGCTGGGCGAAGGCGAGTCGGGTGGCAGAGACGGCGATGCAGAGAGCTCTGACAAGGACGAGTCGCTGCTTGCAGAATCTCTCCGGGCGCGCTTGCGTGACGGGGTCATGGTCACAACAAGAGTGGTTTCCGCCGCC